AATTGAGAATTGACTAGCGAGAATGTTTATGCTGTCCTCTGTGTATGTTTGTATTGTCTCTCTTTCATCTCCCGACGTCTCGAAGTCGGGCTGCGACTTATGTAATTGTGTCTCGTCTAGTGTCCGATGTTTGCGCTTATTTTTAGCACCTGTTGCTGGCACCGTGTAAACACCTGAGTCGACCCCTCCTCACTCACAGGTTCTCTTTTTCATCTCCCCCTCCCCCATGTGTAGTGTCGCTACCCGGCGCTGGAACAAGCGCAACTGAGCAGCCGACCATCCTCCTGATCAACGGCCTAGCCAGCGACGCCCAGTTGGAGGAGAAGCAGGTCAGAGCGGCCGCCCTGAAGCTAGCCCTCGATAGCAACTACATCGAGGCACCTCAGCATCCCTCAGCAGCAGTGCCCACTACACCCGGGGGCTCCCATCTCCTCGACTTTGAGTCCCATCTCATCGAGAGCGTCTCTGGCGAAGGCAGCGGCGTTGGCATCAAGGAACTGCCCCCCATCGAGCAGGAACTGCAGCAGGGCACATCCAAGGTAGGCACCGATGACGCAGAGCCAGTGATCGAGGTGGAACCGGCTGGCGCCAAGACCAAGCAACTCGTTGAGACTTTAGCGCCTGCTCACCAAATCGCCGAGGTCGACGAGACGGCCACTCCGTCGGAGCAAGTGCGACGCACCGCCGAGCAGCTGGTGGATGAGATCGAACAGGAGCTGATCCAGGCACTCAGCAGGGATGTAGACGAGGCACAGCAGCTGCACAAGGAGCAGATCCAGCGCGAGAAGGAGGAACTCAGCTCACTCTCCAAGCAGGTGGAGGTGCAGTTAAACGAACTGACCGGCATCCTCAAGAACAAGCCCCAGGCGGAGATTGTCTTGGAGCTGCCAACGGAAGAGGAGCAGAAACCAAAGCCACTCATAGCCGCACCCAACGAGCTGAAGCTCGTGGAAGTGCCAACGCCAAAGACCGAGGCTGAGGAGCAGGAACGCCAGGAATTCATCGACTCCCTGCCCCAGATCGAGCAGAATCGCCTGCAGGGTAGCGGAGCGGAGGAAACAGATGCTCAGCGGCTCTCGGCGGACTGTAAGCGGGAGTACTATCAGTCGCTGAAGAAGTACCTGCTGCACAGCAGCCAGGATAAGCCACCAGTGCCACTCCAAACCTACCGTTGGGAGGATCTTAAACGAGCCAAGGAACGGGTAAGTTACCCATTGTTTTATATTTTAAAATAAAAGTATAGAATTAATACTATAGAAATATAGTATAATAGAAAGTTATGTTTGGTAAACATTAAAAGGCAAATCCAGTTAAATATAATAACAAGTAAGTTTTGAAACAATTATTGTTTGAGTAAAACTTGCTAATAATAAAGTTCGTATAAATAGATTGCAAATTTTGCTAGCCAGGAATGAAAGGGATCCATTTGAACCACTTGTAAATTATTTTCAGAAATTATGATTTCCTTTTTAGAAAACCCAGTATTTCTTTATGCAAATCATCACATGAAGAAATACCTATGTATACTTATTCATTTTTGAAAAACATTATAAGTAGGTAAATTAAACATTTATTGTTTCGACACCGTCTAAAATAATACAAGTGAATAATCGAATTCAAAACATAACAAAAGGGGAACCTTTTTAATTGCAATTTGAATGGTTCAGTGCCAAAAATTATAAGAAGTATGATATACACGGAATATAGCTATATATGTGTCAGCTGAAACTTAGCATAAATAAAGGTATATCTTTTATTTTACTTAAAGATAAAATTAAAATAGTTTGTTATTTGAAATCTATAAGAACAGAGTTAAAAAGTAAGCTACCTTTTTAGTCATTTATTGGTAATAGTAGCTTTAAATTATGAAGGATACTTTTAAACAACATTTCAGTGGATTAAGCGACATCCCTGAATATATGATTATTTCCAGTCTCTAAAATTTCTCATGCATGCTTAACATTGTCCCATTTTCTTTGTGATCTCAGGGCGGCTATCCCTGGACACATCTATACAAGAGACCTTTGGGACCTGACGAGCAGCCAGAGATTGTGCTGCTGCTGCGCAAGTCTCAGGAGCTGCGTTTCAAATCCGAATCGCCCAAGTCCCTGAAGAAGGTGCGCTACGACGAGCAGGTGCTGGTCAAGGAGACCGAGCGGTACATCCAGGACTTGTCCGAGGACGAGGCGGTTGCCACCACCACAGACGACAGCAGTGACTCGTCGTCTGAATCCGAGACCGAGTCTGAACGCGACCAGCACAACGAGGACGCGCTAAGCGAGTGCATCTCCTGCGTGTCCGATTCTGTGTTAGCGGTTGGAGGACACGCCCGTCCCCGCAAGACAAATCGCCTGGCCCATATACGCGACCTGATCCGGCGCAGACGCAGCGGTCGTACCCACGAGGACGCCCAATCTCTGCCGGGCAACTCAGCCAATCCTAGCCGGCAGAGCAGCGTGCACGAGCTAGCACCGCCGCCGGGATCCCTTATCCCCAACACCGAAAAGCCTTTGAACACCAGCAAGCCTAAACAGGGATTCGATATAATGAAGAAGCTTAAGAGTCTGGCCGAGCGCCAGAAGAAGCGGCTGAACATCAAGCGGATCACGCTGAAGAAGGAGGACAAGATCGTGCTGGGCGAGCAGCAGAAAATCATGAGGCTGAAGGCCTCGCCCAAGTCCGATCGCGGTGAAATCCCGCACTTCATCGAAAAGCAGGACTCCGACGATGTCCTGGAACTGGTGGAGTACGATGAGTCTCCTTGTCGCAAGCGCACCAAGGAGGAGCTGCTGGAGGATCAGCCCAGTGGCAGTGGCAGCACTAGAGTGCCTGAGCCAGAGGAGATCATTGAGCTACCGGTGGCCAAGACTGAGACGGAGACACCTGCTGTGGAAATAACTGAACCCGCAGAGGAAAAGTTGGAGCAGGCAGAAGAACCAAAACCAGAACAAGAAGTCCAGGAAGATGCCGATGGTGAATCTCCTCCCAAGAAAACGCCCCGACTGCGTCGAGAGCATGTCTACGAGGAAATTGGCCGGGCCGGAACTCAGGAGCCTGTAGAGCAGCCCATCGTCGAACTGGATGCTCTTAAAAAATCGCTGACACGACAGGATAACCTAGCTCTTGACGAAATCGAGGCGGCCAAACCCATGCCCCTGGATCGAATGGGCAGCAGCGAGGAAGAGCAGGTGACCGCCGGCAAGCCAGGCGCCCTGCTGGCCCCGATTTCCTCCATCGACTCCACATCCTCCGATGAAGAACGTGCCCGCAAGGCGCAACTTTCACCGGTTGCCGAGGATAGTGACGAACCGATGGAAATTAGTAGCGATTTGCGTCCAACGCTGAAGAAGGAACCCTCCCCAGCGCCCTCGGACAAGAAGGTCACCTTTTCCCACGTCGAGGACGAGGCGGAGCCGCATCGCGAGGACGTCGAGCTGCCCGAAGATGTCCTGGAGGCGGCCACTAACGCGGCCAAGTGGAAGAATGAGAGGTAAGTGAAGAGGAGTACATCTCCTGCCGCCTAAACCCAAGAAAAACGCACTTTTCCCGGCTTGACACTAACACTCAGCACAACCCAATCCGGCTGCTGTTGCTCTAACCATCTTGCAGAGGCTCTAACCCACTTGACTTGCTCTTGAAATTGTTACTAACCTTCTTGCCGGGAGCTGGAGGTGGAGGCAGGGGCAGGAAACAGCGCCGCCGGCGGCTCACCAAGCACCACCGTGCACCACAATACCGAGACTATCACTACACCGACACAGACACCTCCCCAAACTCCAACACCGACACCCGCACCCACAGCCTCAGCACCTGGCGCATCTGGGTGAAGCGATCGTCCTCCTGGACGCTTTGCTGCTGCTGCAGCTCAGGGTCCACTAAAAAGTATTGGTAGCGGGCTCAAGGCGCAGGTGGCCTGACATGATTTAGACCTAAGGTAAGACCTTACCAGGGTACAGTGAATTCAGCAGTGAGAGCTGCTTCGGTATGCGAAACAACATTTTCATGACATTTTCCAATCCCAAAATGTTTTATGTAAAGTGTTATTGTCTTCAAAGAATCAATTATGTTTTAAAATCAACTATAGCTTAACTTTTTAAGTCCAACTCTCTATCTTAAATATTAATGTGTATTTTATAGTACTTGGACGTTAAAAGATTTAAAATCTAGAGATGTAGACTGCCGAAAAATTAAAGTTTGTCTTATTCTTCATAGAAGAAAAAGTATTCAAAACGGACCAAAATAATGTTAACGAAGTTAAAAGTAAAATTTTCTTAAATGGATTATCTTTCTGTTTGTTTTCTAATTATTATCCATGGAATTATATATTAACTATAAAGTTTTATAACTTATATTTGTGAAGACGTTTCCCATAACCGAAAAGCACTGTACTCACCATGCTGTACTCCTCTTGCCGACATGTTAGTGTTCTGTCCTTCTCACTCCTCCATTGAATGTTGGTGTTGGTTCAATAAATATGTAAATACATTGTATGTACACAAATATCCGCGGATTTCGGTGGATTTGCGGTGGGCGGGGAAACGGGGTTGCATGAGCGGGAATCGTTGTGACGCCATGATCATCTGAACGCTACTCCCAAAGGTCACGCCATATCTCCTGGCAAAGGACGGCTTCCGACGACCAGTAATTACATGGATAAAGCAGCGGCAAACGACGCGTGTCAGGCGAACATCAAACGGCAAACTGTAGAGTATATTTAGCGCGGTAAAGGTCGACGAATGACAACAAGATTTCCGGCAGGGCCCGCCTCGGAAGATCCCAAAAATAGAACGATAAAGTGCAGACCGAGAAATAATTGTTACTCCTCCTAGTTCTTCTTCTTCTATCCTCCTTCTTGCCCTCTCCCACCCTCCACAGACAACTCACCACGATCACAATTATGAGCAGGCTGGCAGCTTTGTCGCGCATATTCACACTCACATACACAGGCAAACGCCTCTAATCTGTGTCGCGGGCGATTTGTGTGTTTGTGTTTTTGCTAATTTTAAAGAAAACATTTTCATCTTTCGAACAAGAAAATTCGGTTGAAAATTTGTGTCGCGCAAATGGCGAAAAGCTCTCTGTCCTCAGTCCTGGCCGAAAATCGCAACGATGTAGACGCGCTCGCGGTTACACATTCACAATTACACTTTACGGGACGACCAACATCTCCACCACAGCCAAGAGCGACAGGGATGACGATACAGTGTTTCCAAAGCGCGGTATCGATAAACGATTATTAACCACTAAGAAAAAAGAAACGAAATAACCGATTTTCGAGCCGTTGCAAAACCAAGAGCGAAATTCTTGGCCCCGTAAGAATTTCGAACGGGACAGAAAATAAATTCAATGTCTGCTCTGGTGGTGCTTTAAAAATAGCCACCGACGACGACCACACATCAAAGGCGAACAAAGGCACCGCAGAGGAGATTTGCGAGCGGAGCAGGGGGATTACGGCCGGGGCCAAGTGAGCAAGTAATAGTTGCTGGCGACCATGTTGAACTCCCGTCGATCAGCCTCGGTGGGCGCTCTGCCCGCCGAGAAGCGTCACTTCGTGTCACGGGCAGAGAGTGCCAGCGGTGCCTCCATGGAGGTGCGCTGTGCCTGCCAGTTCTTCGAGTCCGAATCCCTGCTGCCGGAACGTATAAATCCCGTGGACTCGCGCCCAGGCTCGAGGCTGAGTCAGCACGCCGAGGAGCAGTACCCAGGTGCACATCTCAATCTTCTGCATGACGACCTGTCCGCGCACAGCTTCGAGGTGGTGAGTCATGCCGATGTAGCGCCCTCGGTGGACCTGAGCTTCATGGAGCGATACCCGGAGCTGGAACAGACGGCCCGCTCTCGAGGATTGGTGGTGCGCAGCATCTCGGACGCCACAGAGCCGGACTTTTCTGGCCAGCATCATCAACAGCAGCAGCTAGGTGGTATTGGTGGAGGCTTTACGGCCGGGCGCAGGCGGCAGCTGTCCATGGGCGGACTGTCCTCGGGCAGCATGGGTCGCTTTCCCGACACCCTGTCCATGCGTAGTGGCACCTCGCTGCGCCGCATCTCGGCTGGTAACTCCAGGGCGGACTTGTACTGTGCCGACATCAACATACCAAATGCTTCGTCAGCGGCGGCGGGAGGACGTCGCTCGGCCAGCGCCAGTCGTCGCGCCTCCAATGCAGATCTGTTCCAGGCCAGCATCGTTCCGGGATCCCAGCAGCCGCCGCAGCTGAACTTGATTCCAGCCACGGCCTTGCCGGGAATGATGGAGCAGCCACCGCAGTTCCCGTCGCACCAGGCCTCGCCGGCCCCGTCGCAGCAGGACTTCCGTATCGCCAAGCCTCCGCTCTCGACGGACTACATGCGACCGAGCGAAGCCAACAAGGAGAACCAGTTCCCCGGAGACACGTTGCCCCAGAATCGACCCATTGACGTGTCCCGCTTTGGTGGCGACGCAGTGCGACCCTCTTTCCTTCTGGAGTCTGACTTGCAGCAGATTCAGAACCCCTATAAGCCTACGGTGACACCCATCGATCCTCTAGCGGAAACAGTGGCGGAGCTGGAGCAGATAGCCCAGGAGCATAGCATTGTTCGCATCAGGGACAACATACAATCAGAGACACGACGTCCGCCCTCAATCGGTGGAGATCTGAGCGCTGCTCCACTGAAGGTGGATGAGCTGACCAAAATTGAGATCATCCACGATGTACCAGTGGTGGATATAGACCAACAGTTGCGCGAAGAGGAGGCGAAGGCGGCGGAGCACCGCAGCCGTAGTCCCAGGCCTACGCCCAGGAGACCCAAATCCCCACCCGTAATGGCTACCTTGCAACTGCCCTCGAGCAGAACGACCAGTCCCTCATCAGCGGAAACAGTACTTCCCCCAGCTGGTGGCCAGCAACTCCTCAAGCGCCAGCATACGCCGGAACGGCAACTCTCGCCGGACCGCGCCTCCAAGTGGACACCACAAATGGAATCCGCTCCCACTGCTGCTGTTATAAACCTGCAGGATGCCTCTCCAGAAGTTAGAAGCACGTACACCTCGCGATTCAAGTCCATGTTTGGTGCCAAAGAACCAGGGCAACGATCTCGCTCTCCTAGTCCAGCTGTACAGCCAATCCCCAGGAGTCAGTACACGCCCGAAAGACAGCTCTCGCCGGAACGCCCCTCCAGGTGGACCCCACAGCAGCAGAATCTAGCCAACGCTCCACCTGCCACTGCTATCAATCTGCAGGAAGCCTCGGCAGAGGTAAAAGGTTCCTATACCTCGCGCTTTAAGTCGATGTTTGGCGCTAAAGACACCGCTATGCAGCGATCCCGATCTCCAAGTCCCGCTGTACAACCAATCCTGAGGAGTCAGTACACCCCCGAAAGACAGCTATCGCCGGAACGTGGCTCAAAGTGGACACCTCAGCAGGAGAACGTTGTTGTGGCCTCCAGCCCGCCGGAGGCTTTGCCAGAGGTCAAGAGTTCCTACACCTCGCGCTTTAAATCGATGTTTGGCGGTAAGGAGTCACGCGGCAAGTCACCATCACCCTCGTTGCAACGCTCCCGAACACCCAGTCCGAAGCTGGACAGACTGGAGAAGTCCCCTATGCTCTCGGTGTTCAACCGGGGCAAAGCCATGTCTATAGTGACCACCTCTACGGCGGCAATAAGAAGCAAGGAAGCGGAGCCCTTGGCCGTGCGTGTGACGGAGACATTCTCGCTCAAAGTGGACGAAATGGATCAGTACTGTGTGCGGCCACCAAAGCCACCGGCTCCTCCGCCAAATGCCCAGACTATGTACAGCAGTCGGGAGGACTTTGCCGCCTCAGAGAGAGCCTCGGACAGGGCCTCGGTGGACATCAGCGAGGCATTTGCACCCGTGGTGGTGTCCGCCGTGCCTCGAGGAGGCAGTTTTAGCCAGAGCGCCAGTATGAACATAAGCATGACCGGAAGCGGCGGCAGTTTTATGGCCGGCAACAGGAACCTCTACTCCAGCGAGATAGGTGCACCTGAATCGGGATATTCGCGTACGGATTCAGGTAGCAGGGATATTTCCATGGGTGGCAGCCGTCCGCTGATCTCCGTGCCCATACAGATATCGGGAAGCGGCAGTGGATTTGGGAGCGGGAGCGGAAGTAGGAGTAATGTGTACCGACCCCTTCACCAGCGTGCTCCCTCCGAACAGCGCGGCTTTGGGGTGCAGCGCAAGTCCTCGTTTAGGGAGCCGCGCACTCAGTCCCACGACAGAAGCTCCCGGCTAGGCCGATCCCAGGAGCAGCTGTTCGGGGCGGAACGCATGACAAAGACGGTTAGTTTCCATTTTGACGAACGCAAATCGCGCCTCGCGGAATTCGAGTCCAACTCGAACCCCCTGACCCCCAAGCAATTAGAACACAGAGATTTCCTCGAACGGACCTATTTCTCTCGGTAAGCCATCGCCACCCTCCTGTCCCCGATCCCCCCGAGAACCCGACCTCGACACGCAAGCAGCAGGCCGACCTCCACGCTGGGTGACGGCTCCTTATAGCTACCGCTTCTACACCACCACAACCACACGATCCATGTTGCAAATCTCTGTCCACAACCCATTTATATCTATATCATTTACCATTTTCTCGTTTTCTTTCGCAGTGATCATGAATACGAGCCCGTGGGCGGATCCTCGCCAGCGCCCAGCCCCCAGGACGAGCTGCAGCTGCCCATGGAGATCGATACAGCGCTCAGCTCGGCCGGCACCACGCCACGCACCGAATCCCGCACCGATTACGAAATTCACACCAGCCAGGTCGACTCTAGCGCCCTGGAAGAACTGCCCTTGCAGCCCGAGAACCGTCGCAAGGGCTTCATGGCCTCGGCCCAGGACAGGACCAAGAAGATGCAGGACGGCCTTCGTCAGCAGGCGGGTAAGCTCCGCACCAGGCTTCAGACCAAGCCAAAACCCAAGCCCGTTTCGGGAAGCCCCAAAGCGAAGGCCAAGGAGAGGAGGCGCTTCAAGGCACCCGAGTTCTCCAAGATCAAAATGCCGGAGATCAAGCGACCGGATATGTCAAAGCTGAGGGATCTGAAGCGACCGGAATTCACGAAGTTCAACAAGCCGGACATGTCCAAGTTCAAGCTGCCGGAAAAGTTATCCACGCTGAAGCTGCGCCGAAGCAAGAGCTTTAAGGAGAACGAGGGTGAGCTACCGTCAGAGGACACCCAGGAGAACACCGGAACCTCTGCATCCCCCACCCAAGCCCAACCGGCGCCCAAGAAGAAGTTTGAGTTCAACTTTGGTACCTATCCAAGGGCTTTCCGCAAGAAGAAGCCTGAGGAGCCGGCTCCCGTGGCCATGGAATCTTCCCTGGGCACAGAAGGGCTCAGTTTGAGTGTAATTCCCAGCACAGAGACGCAACCATCGCAAACGTCCACTAGCTCACCTCAAGGTGATCGTGGACCAGGCCCTGTGCGCTCCCGCTGGGCGGACAAGTTCTCCGATGTGAGCTACAATGACAGCGAAGGATCCAGATACCGGCGCTATGGCAGTGAGTTAGAGAGCTTCGACCGGGAATCCTCGCTGGAGCGCCGCATGAAGGAGGACCTCGAGGGCACCGAGGACACGGCAAGTGAGGCACAGCCGCAGCCAGAGATGGGCATCCTGGGCGCTGTGGCTGACAGCAAGCAATTTGCTGAATTCGACGAAGAGAACCGTGCCATCCACGAGATCTCCAGCAAGCGATCCCGAGAGTTTAAGCGCCGTCCCATGGTGCATCAGGACTCGGATCTGCGCTCCGAGGATAGCAGAGATGCCGAGGGCTGGACTGAGAAGGATATACAGAAGAACAAACTGCTCCGCAAGGCCGAACTAGAGGCTGAGGCTGGTTTCTACAAGTTCCATGATCTGCAGGACGCACAATCTACGGCCAGCTCCGGAAAGAAGGTGGTCATGGAACCCATCGACGATGACGAGTTCTTCCTGCGCAAGCGCGGCATCTCTGAGGACAACATCCAGCTGCGCCAGTACATCAGCGAGGCCATTCGCGAGGGCTACGACATGCCCAATGCCTTGAAGCATGTTGGCTACTCCGCAGAGCAGGTCCCGGCGGAGTTCGCGGACTACGATGTGCCACCGGCAAAGCCACGTCGCCTGCACCGCAACTACCAGCCGGAATTCGACTCACAGGAGTTCCAACGCAGTGATTATGGCGACGACCTCTCCATGTCGCAAAACGGCAGCGAGTTTACGCCAAAACGACCACTTCGCAAGGCCCGCAGCCGCAGCAAATACTCCATCGAGGGCAGCCAGGACATCCCCATGGCGGATGGCGGCAGCAGCATTCAGTACTTCGACGACGATGAGGAGTACCTTCGACCCCCAGTGAGGGATCAGCCAGCCACCACGGAGTCAGAGCAAGCGCTCAATAATCTCAATATTGGCGGCAGGGCTGCGGCAATGATTCAAGAGGAGTTAGAGAAGGAGCGACAGAAGACCCGCCCGCAGGCACCGAGGCGCCAGAAGAAACGCACAAGGGACGACGCATCCGTGGAAAAGGACGCGGACTCGTTCATCAACGGCTTTGGTGGTAGATCAGTATCGAACACCTTTTTGCAGCCACACGAAGATGTGAGTAGACATTGTGCTTCTCTTTAAGATTCACAGGGATTGAAAACAAGACTAAAACAAGCTTCGATTAATCTTTTCCTCCACTTTCCTCTTTTTAGGTAATTGTTTATCGCACTGAGCACGAATATCGTCATATACCGCTAGCCACGCCGGACAGATTTACGGATGGAGCATCGGCACGCACGCAGCGGTCAGAGGACGACCGCACATCGCGCGGCGCTGACTCCCTGATCCTGGACGTGCACACGAAGACGAGGCCCGAGCTGGATGACAACGAGGAGGCGCCAAGGACCAAGAGCGACGAGAAGTTCGTCATCGACATGCTGGAGAGTGATGGGTGAGTAGAAGAGGCTCATACCTCAATCTTAAAGAATAGTTCGCTAGGAGTTGCTTTCTTGCCCGCTTTCAGCTATGCGGTGGTACGCAAGGAGTCGTTGCCCAAACCCACGCCACCTGCACGCCGGAAGAAGTTCACCCGGTCGCCAGGCGAAAGATTTGCCACGCTGCCCAGCATTCGCGGCTCTCGGGGATCCCCGCCGCCAGCTCGTCCACCGCCGCCGCAACAGTACGTGCCCACGGAGGACTCGCCACTGGTGCCGCGGCGCAGATCCGCGGCCAGTCTGGACGAGATCCCCCAGATGATCAAGTCGAAGTAAGAGCGATAAAGAGAGAGAGAGGCATGTTTGCCTCTGGAGCTTTGATTGATGATGATTTGTTTTCGTTGACTTGTTGCGAATGCATTATTTTCGTTAAGTTTTTATTTTATTTTCGTTTGCTGTTAAGTTTTAGGCTAAGCAGCCGAGTGACCTAGACTAGGCTTAGGCTACTAATCCGATCCACCCGAGACACGCACTCCACACAATAAAGCAGACCATAAACCCACCACACAGACACAGCATCTTCTTGCCTTTGGCTTTTGCTCAGTTTTGAAACCCCAATTCCCAAGCCCATGATGTTATCTAATGATGCACCTCAAACCCTTTTCCCTAGCTACGAGTCCCAGAAGCAGCAGCAGCTGAAGGTGCAGCCGCCGGAGGAGGAGGATGACTACGAGGAGCCAGGTGCCTTGGGGCGACCAGAGTCACCGCGCTCCAATCTGCAGTCGGGCGAGATCATCAACAAGATGAAGTTCCGCCCATTGCCGCCGCCGCCGCGTCCTCCACGCGAGAAGCGCTCCGCAAGAGGTGGCAGTCAGACCCTGGATAGCTACGACGAAAGCGAACACGTGGCCAGCTCCAGTCAGGCCGATAGCTACGACCAGGGTGAGTTCGAGGTGGAGGTATCCACGCAAACCGACCCGTTGCCCGATGACTTTGTCTGCGAAGAGTTCGAGATCACCGAGGACATGAAGATCATCGAACCGCGTCGCTCCAATGGTTCGGGCAACAAGACCCTGGAGGATCTACTGCGCAGCGTGGAGGCAGCCCAGGAACAGGACGAAGTTGACGGTGTCCGAGTGTTGACCGAGGACGAGCAGCTTGCAAAGGGTCTGCAGAGATTCCGGGATGCCAACCAGCGCAGCATGTCGGAGCGTTCTCGTGCGTCTTCCCAAGCGGATCGCTCCAAGTCGCTGAGTCGTCCGCAGACGCCTTCGTCGGCTGTGGTGATCGAGCGGCGTGTGCCCACGCCCAGTCTGTCGGCTGGAGAAGATGATGCCGCTGTGCAGGCCTCGCTAATTGTGCGGCCCATTAGTGCCGCCGATTTGGAGGACGACGACCTGCGGCGTGAGGAGGAGGAGCTACGACGCGAAGGCTTACTTTCGGATAGCTCTGTGCAGAGCAAGTCCGACGTGGAGGAAGAGGAGCACGGCGGTGATGTGGTGCTGAGCGACTATGCGGCCAGTTCCGCGGACTTGGATGCGGCGGTGGAGCAGCTACAGCAGGCTCAGCTAGAAAGCGACTACGAAAGCCGGCTGGAGGACGACGAAGTGGAACGCACGCTGAGAGACAGTGAGTACGAAGACGAAAAGTATTCGGAGCAGGAAGAGGAGGAGGAAATAGCTCAGCTGGAAAAGGAGCTCACAGAGCAGGAACTGGAGGAAGCCCTCGAGAAGGAACTACAAGAAGCCATGGAGAAGGAGCTCTCCGATTACCGGCAGAAGGAGAAGGAGCAGGAACAGGCTTTCTCCGAAGAGGAGCCTGCCGCCTCCGAGATCGATTATCAGCAATCCGAAGAGGAGAAGGCTGCCTCCGAGCTCGACTATCGTCACTCCGAGGATGAGCATCCGCTGTCAGCGGAAGAACACACCCTATCCGAAGAGGAGCGCACGGTCCTTTCCGACACCGAACAACCTCTGTCCGAGCCCGAGATCCCAGCCGTCGAGGAGACCATTCAGAAGTCCACCGCCAGCGAACCCACCGAGGCCGAAGTAGAGCTTAAATTTGTAGCCACTTTGCCCACCGAACCCGCTTACGGTCATGAGGAAGAGGAGGAGCAAGAGCCCGAGGTGGTTCCATTGCCACCACCGCGACGCAGGTCTACTACCGCCCTGGAACCCACCGCAGCAGCCAGTCTAACAATTGCCGAGCACTCTAGCCGCGAACTCACGCCCATTCAGTCGGTGCAATCCGCGCCAGAGCCGCAACTGCCGAGTCGCCTGGTGGATTTGGAGGTGGAACGATTGCGAGTTCATGCTTTGCAAGCGGGCCAAATCCAAGTGTCGCAGCTTCACGGAGGCCAGATCAAGGCCGACGATCTGCAGTGCAAGTCCGGACAGTTGGTGGTCCAGAATATCGAGCTGCCGCCTGGATTTATCGATGACATTGTGGAACGGGTTCAGCGGGAGCAGCGTTCTTCGCTTCTGACCAGCGAGACGCAGACCAGCCGGCAGCCCAGCAGCGAGCCGGCCACGTCCGAAAAGGAGCAGCCCATCAAGCCGCCACGCCACAGCAAGACCACCGAACAAACGCCGCCGAACGCCAATCTCGACGAGCAGACTCAGACAGAGGCAGGTCTGCTGCCACTGCCTCCGCCGCCAACGGCATACCCAAGCGTAGAGTATCTGCAGTCTCTGGCTCCGTTGGCCTTCTACAATCTTCAGCGCAGCGCCGAGGCGGAGCAGGCCGAAGCCACGTCCGCTGCTGATCGCAAGGCGCCGCACAAATGCCGACGACGCCACATCGCCCAAGAGCATCTCGAGGAGGAGTCTGGCTCGGAGCTGGAGGAGCAGCTAGTGGAGCGACCACGCTCCCGGTCGAGGCGCTCGCGCACCAGGAGTGCCACCCAGCCACCGGATGACGAGTATGACGAGGATCAGCCCAAGACGGTGGTTCAGGCGGGCAGGCAATTCATCTCGGCCTGCAGCTTGGAACTGGTGAACATCATCAACCAACTGACGCACTACGTGCGCGGCGAGGCGGTGGAGCCACAGCAGGCGCCACGCAACGTGTCCGCACTTATGGTGCTCTTCATACTGATCACTTTCGGTGTGCTGATTTTCCTGCTAACCGGGCGACAGGTGCACACGCATCACTGGGACTACTTCAACCCACCCGGGAACGAGGGCAGGCAGACGTGAGGGGCTGTGGGGAGTCACCTCCTGCTGCTGGTTTACACAATTCTTTTGGGGCGGTTTTGCATTTTGGAGCATCGAATCTGGCCAAGAGATCAGGGATCTTGGTGGGAGAAGAAACGAATTTAACGCGGCCAGGTGGTCCGCTCGAAACTTGAAGGCCTTAATGATACTAACGAGAAATTACTTTAGGAAAGGTGGAAAGGTGCGCCGATGGAGGCGGAGGGCGGTGGGCGAGGGGCGTGCCACGCCCTTGCTACTAGTCACATAACACAACATAATCGAAACCGGAATCCCAGTTTACTGATCCATCATCATCAGACACAACATACCGACATCTAACTTGTACTAACCAAAAATATAGAGGAACATTTTTCAACATTGTTAAGCATCGAAATAGAGATGAGATCCTTAGCGACAGAAGGATAGAATGGAGGAGCAACGACCATGTATTACCTACATATGTACTTAGACGTCTTAGTTTGACTCGGGTCTTTTTCACTCAACCAGGAAGGAGCTGGGACAACTAACTCTAATAAAAACTTACTTTTGTTTGCTCATTTTTTACTACCGGCTAAGCGTGGCGAGAGATTCTATTTGTTGAACGAAAATGTTTAATTTAGACCAAAAACGTAGGAATTAATATACAAACATACACTCTTTTCTCATTGAATTCATTTGAAAACGTTATATAATTTGAAATGCGAGTACTTAGCCAGAAAGGGAACATATATACATAAATATATAGAAGCGTATTTTCAATAAAGCAAAAAAATATAAAATATAAATAACTGTGTTTTTCTTTATAAATAGGGAGGGAGAAGTTAAAAACTAGTTTTGAATAAGTTGGAGAACTACAGTCGGGTGTCCAGGACTGTAAAATAACCGATACCCAAAGTTCTGGGCGTTGAACTTTCCAAAAATCTATTTATAATGCATTCGATTGAAAAAAAAGATAATGTAAATTTGTTGATATTTTTCTAAAGCTTGCCGATATTTCATTTGTGGCTACTCATAATTGTACTCTTATGTGGCTAAAAATATTATTTGCCATTTATCTCTAAAAAAGTATAGATTCTTTTACAAATTAGAATGGGATTTGGTTAGTTTAGATCCTGTTAATATTGGTTTAAAAAAAAAATTAATATTTGTTAAGACTTAGTGGGCAGTATGAATTCACACAGACAGACGGACATGTCAAAAATTATCTTGCGTTGTAATGCTATGGTCGGAAATGCTTTCTTTATGCCTTTCCAAACACTTTTCGATTATAACACCCCTGTAACCTATGAGTTCCGGTTAGCAAAATATTGCTGCTTTAAAGCAAAAAGTCCTCGTTGTACAGAACCATCTCCCGATGGTCCTTGTGACTACCCTTCTGCGATTTGCTGGCAGCTAAAAAGGTAATAAGAAATACTATAAAACAAGGTACCTGGAAATACTTTCAAGTTCTTACCAATTGAAGACCAGACTGCCGATGAAGAGGCATCGTTAATAGGCTCTATTTGGGGTTGACGTCTAGCCAGTTGCACTTGCAAGTTAATGCCGTTCACATTCTTTCCATGCATTTCTGCAATAGCCCGATCCGCTGACTCTGGCTTGGCGAAGGAAACAAAGCCGCGACTGCAAGAAATTTGAATTTTATGAGATCCTAGAAACCATCTTCTTCTTCATCATCTTATACTTGTTAATCTTCTTATATTTGTGATTTAAATACTGAAAACTTGAAGTATTTTTAACTGAACCACAAGTTGAGTATCTTTTAAGTAATTTTTTTTCGTATCATTGAATAAAGGGAAAAGTATATATTGTTACCTCTTTTCAATTTCCATCGACACATTCACTATTGTGCCATAGTCGTTGAATGTTTTCTTTAGGAAATCCTCGGTGACCTTGTTACCAGACACAAAGATAGTGTTGCCGGCCCGCGGCTTCTCTGGCGGTGGAGTGGTATCCATCGGAACCTTCTCAGGCATTCCGCGCTCCTCACGATCCCGCTCAGTGGCAAAGTGCTGGTACAGATTTGGAGTGGGCCTGCGCGGCTCTTCCTTGATGATCTCACTGATAATGGTCTCCTGGGCGACGTCATTCTGCGTGGAGGAGAAGGGCTGGTAGGAGCTGGTCTCCGAGGTGGAGCGTTTAGCGCGCTCCTGACCCTTTGGTCGCTTGAACGAGGTCTGATCCTGCTTTGTTTGCTGCTTCTGAATGGCGGGAATGGCGCCGCTCTTGATCAGCTTGCGGGCCACCTCACGCGCATCACGAGCATCCGTGGGTCGCTTCAGGGTCATGGAGCTCTCCGGCTCTGGTTTAGGTGCCTTATGTGCCTGCAGAGCCTTTTTCTGTAGGATAAAGATGGATTGAAGCCGGGGGAAACAGGTATTTGCGCTGCAGCGTCTTACCTTCTTCTTGAGCTTCTGATATTTGGCTTGCAGCATCTGCTCCTCTTCTGTTAGATTGCTGGGAAAGTGTATGTAAACCATTTTAGCTATGTTTAAGGGATTTGTTGGCTATATTTCCTTAATCTGTCAATATTTTGTTTATTTTTCGTCGCGTTTGCCGCTAGTGTGACTGTGCTCTGCTAAGGTAAGAATCCCGGAGTATTAAATGCACTGCTGCCACTCTAAGTAGTGCTGTTAAACGACCACAGAAAATGCAACCCTGTGTTTACCAACACTAACGCCATGTTGCGGCAGAGCTGTCAAAAATGCTCTTTCCTTCTCTTTCTTTCCGGTTAGCGTCATGGTAAGATTCAACAAAGTTTTCTGCGAATCAGTTGAAAATGTGAAAATTAAGCGGTATAAGCCGCTCGAGATGAATTAAATGATATCGTAAAATGAACGGGTCAGTGCGTTGAACGTGTGCGAATATAAACCAGCGCAGAAGCCGATAAATTGCCTGAGAATACTGCGTTCGAAATATTTCACGTGGTGGACACCAACACAAGCAACGCGATGGCCATGCAGCACCCGAAATTTGGTTATTTTTGAGACGAATTTCATGAATTTCTCTGCTTGCAGCCTTTCGAGAGATTCGTACAAACTGGTCGCATTGCCAAGGCCTCGGCCGGTCCCCTGAAGGGTCGCCTGGTGGCCATTGTCGACGTCATTGACCAAAACAGAGTAAGTGCTTCGTTTCACCAGGGAATCCCGCGGGGAGCGACAACCAAATGCCTAATTGCGGTGCACTTGCACATGATGATAATTTGTCTTCTTGATAGGAAGTGCCAACTGACACAGAAATGAAGCTAGTTTAACCCACTGAGAGCAAGAAAGCAAGCATGGCATTTGTTGCGCCTTCCGGGAACGCCGTCGTAGTTCTAAAATTAACCCTTTCTCCTCTTCTAGGTTCTGGTCGATGGTCCTCTGACCGGCGTGCCCCGTCAGGAATACAGATTGAACAATCTGCACCTGACCAAGTACCGCATCAAGTTCCCCTACACCGCGCCCACGCGCATCGTGCGCAAGGCCTGGACGGAGAGCGACCTGAAGGCTCAGTGGAAGGTCAGCCCCTGGTCCGTCAAGGCACAGAACATCTGCAAGGTATGTAAAAGGAGTCTGAAGGAGTTACTTTGGTAGGGAAAATCACGGAACAGAGAAGGAAATATAATATTTACTGGATATTGTATTTTCTTCTCTGTTTAAATGTTTACCCTCCGTTTTTTGCACATGATGATAGTTGAAAGTTCTTGATAGGAATTGCCGGCTGACACATAAATGAAGCTACTTTTATTTTATCTGATTAAACCCCTAGTATAGCTTAGTGTGCACTTTCTGTAAGAAACCAGACAATTAACCTTTAATTTACTTGCAGCGCTCCTCGTTGAACGACTTCGACCGCTTCAAGCTGCGTTATGCCAAGCGTCAGCGCAACAAGCTGCTGACTATTGCCTTCAACACACTGAAGAAGCGCACCAAGGCTGATGGCACTCCCCGCGTCCTGAAGAAGGATCGTCGCGAGCGTCTGCGTGCCGAGAAGGCCAAGGGTGGCAAGAAGGCCGCGGCCAAGAAGTAAAAAAAACATTTAACGAAAGTAACTGCTTGATGAACATCCACCACAATGGAGAAAATAAAAGAAAGTGTTATTTTTAGGAAAAACACACGAGCACCGTCCCGTTTTTTATCGGTTTCTAAATGGGGAAGCCTCTGTTTGGTTTCAACAGTTTTATTTGCTCTCAAGAAACAAAAGTGATCTTAACAGTCCAATCTTTAAAGCAGTCTAGAAAATATAGCACGAACAACCTAGCCGAGCACCAGGTGCTCAGGGATTGCATTTCCCATAGATGGTCTTCCAGTTGTTGGGGTGGTTGTAGCCCAGCAAGATGGGCAGGTGTAGGAACAGCGTGATATGCTCGCCCTGTATCGACGTAGACACCTTGACCCATTTTCGGAGCCACTCGATCATCTCCTCGTTGCTCATACCGTCCGGATTCAGGCCGCGCAGGTAACAGGAGTAGCGCAACGAAGCAGGGGTCAAATTGTGGACGCCGCCTTCGCGGTTGATGGCCTGGTCCATGTAGTGTACCAGAAAGGCGTGCTCGTGCAGCCGATGGCGCTTGAATATGCTGCCCGGCAGGCCATGCAGGTTGATTAGGTTTCTCTGCAACAAAAGGAATAAGTAGCTGGACTATTCGGTGCTCCGACCAACACCTACGACGTGTTTTCGCGGCATTCCGAGCAACGAGTAAGGCCCATCGGCAAATATGTCCCTGACGTCAATTAGCATCTCCGGCGTCGGATGCGTACCACTACCTAGCTGACCCAAGATGTCAGCGAAGGCTGAATGCTTGGGGTGCTTGACCGTCGCCTTGAGCTTGGCCTGCAGGCAGCGGAAGACGGCCTTGTTGTAGGACAAACGTCGCTTTATGTAGTAACTCTGAAACTCGTAGCGCTGCTGCAAGGTCCAGAAGTGGGCAGTGAGAAAGGTGCGCGGGTACCAAAAGCTGTGGAGTACAAGTTTTAGTTTAAATACACTCCCTACACTCTGCATCTTACACGAGGGGAAAGAAGGCGTAGCCCACCATGGGCAGGGAGCAACCAATCAGAGCCGGTGCAACCTTCATCATGTCCCTCGGCATTTGCATGTACAGCTCCAGTTCCTGCCGATTCAGCGCCCGGATACCCTGCGGCGAGTCGTTTGCAATGCGGGCTATCTTCAAGAAACGCTTCATGTCACTGAAGAAGTCCTTGACGCCGTCGAAGAACACCCGGTACAGCTGCATGGCCTTGGGGAAGTTCTTCTCGAGGACCTTGTCATAGTTTTTGACGTAGTTAAAGTAGCGGGTGAAAATATAGTCCTGCATGTTGTCCCGCATCTGTTCCCGCTTCGATTTGATCGTGTCCGGCTCCTTTCGCTTCTCATCCGGCGTCTTCATGTCTTGCGGCGGCTGCGGCGGCGAATGGCTTTTGCTACTACTGCGGCTGCTCTGCTCGGTCTTTGGCTTCTCGATGGAAGTGTTGGCATCCCAGCCCGTCTCATAGATGGCCTTGCCCACGCTGGTTATCTCGGCGGCTACATTTCGCTTGATCTGCGCCGGAGCCGCGGGAGCGGGCTTCGTGGAGAACTGCCTTCCCTGATGTGGTTGAAGACGGCACAATGCTCTCTGCCGGTTATCGCTGCTAAGTGGTAATTGAATTTTAATGCCGATTGCTAATTAGGGCGGCGGAGCTCTCACCTGGCAGTCGTGGCTGTGGTGGTGAGGGTACACAGGTGTAACAACCGCCGACGATCTTGGGGCCAGAATATCGCCGGACCCTGGGCAAATCGGGCCACGCGCAAAGCCAACGCCATTCCGGTCTCTAACTGTGACCTCTCCGACCAGAAACCCCGAAGAGACTCGCCTTGTTACGCAACCGGCGACGCCGATGCAGGAGCTCGCCCGCAACAACTTTAATTACAGGATTAAATAATTTCACATGCAATGCGAGTTCTCCGTTTCGTCGACAGTGTGACCAAATCTGCCGAATACAGGGCCAATGCGCCCATTTACGAAATGGTTTTTTTCGGCTGCGTTTTGAATCAAGGATTTCAAGGATAATTTGTATATAGATTTTGTGATTGTTATGCTTCAAATGGGCACTATAGTGGGCATCAGTGTTGCCAGGTGATGAGCGCCCATATAAGCTAGATTTAAAAAAAAAATAAGCTAGAATAAGCTAAACAATTTTTAAAAAATGCGAAAAAACAAGCTACACCCAAATATGAGAAAACACGAAACATATAATATATATTATTATATTATATGAATATGTTATTATTAAAGAAAGTCTTAAAAATATGTTTTTAAAGTAAGCACTTAAAACAAATTAGTTAATATTTCATCAATTCCTTCATGTTGTTCGTCGCCGAGTGTTCGGCAATGAACAAACAAAGCGCTGCTTCCTGATCCTGAGTCTTGCAACACTTAGCCGGAAAATTTATTTTTTGCGATTCAGCAACTGATCTCATTGATAAAATGTGCTTTTTCGATGCCGCATGCTGCCTGATTTCAAAAATTTTGGCTGATATTGTCGACTTACAGTAGCAACAATATGCTTTGGTTCCTTCTCCTGGCACTTAAATTCGTTGTTTTGGAGCCAAGCATCCCGAAAAATCTGTTTATATATAACTTTCGGCATTTTGAGGACACGCTTTACCTATTTTCACAACACAACAAAATTATTGGTGGTAACACTTCAGCCAACAAATCGATCTCCGATGACACTTTCGATTAGAAATAAGTTCACGATCACATAAAATGCACATAACCATCGGAAAAAAAGAACAAACTCCAATATTTTCATGCTATAAAGCATATTTTTCGTAAAAAACATTCCGTGGATGTCAAAAATACATAAAAAGCTAAAATATGCTAGATGAATTTTAAAATAAGCTATATTTCAAGCTATAAGCTAGATGGAAATTTTTCAAGCTTTTCTAGTTTCAAATATGCTAGAACTAGCTTATAATAAGCTAACCTGGCAACACTGGTGGGCATTATACGCAAACTACACAGAACCGTTTATGTTTTGTGGAGAGTCTTGCTGCCAGCGCTGCCACCTATCGAGCCTTGACTGGCAGTGCTGCCAAACTCCAAAGTGGCAACACTAGGACCAAGTGCGCAGAATTTTAAAATTTTGAAAGATTCGTCTTATAAATAATAAAAATTTTAATAATGGACTTTCCTACAACATTGTCAAAAAGAGACAAAAAATTCTGAAAACGTTTTTTGCTTTAAAAAAGAACTGTGTAAACCCTTAAACTGCGGTTTTAGTAAGACTAAAACTTATTGCTCCCTTTAGCTACTTAATCTTTAATCTGATTTTAATTTTAAATAGACTCCGCTGCAAAATTAGTACAATACAAAGGAAACATAAGGTCCAGTAACATTTTTTGTTGAGAAAAAATTTCAGATTTCAAAGCTTGGCGGCTTTTCCCAAGCAGCTGCGCATTGCGAGTCCGTGAGACAGAGACTATCAGCTTGCAGCAGCTGCTGCTGGGAGAGAATCCCCGTTTCAGTCCACCCGGAGTCGTCTGTTGCGTCGGTTGCCTAGACACTTTTCCGTTTCCAAAAGCGCGCGGCGTCTGGTGCGTTTGTTTTCGCCTCGTACTCTGTTAGATGCTGGCTGCAATCGAAAACAAGCTGGGTGAAGAGTGACGCGTGAGGGCAGCAATAAAAAGAAACCGCAGCGGCAGCACGAGGAGAAATTAAGCTCAGGCGGAGGCTACGTAAAAACCGTAACTAATCAGCGGGCCATCAATGGCGGCCACTTTTGGCCATTTTGTGGCATAAGCGGAAACGGAAATGTGCGTTGCTTGTTTGGCAGCGTGAGAACTAAAGTGTGGGGGGGGAGTCTCTGTGGAAGGGGCGAGAAGTGGGAGCCAAGACCTTCAGAGGGAAATTGTAAAACTTAGCGCGTGTCCAACTCGCTTGACTTCCCGTTTGTGTCAACCTGGAAAAGGCGGACAAAGTCACCAGAAAGACACTCTCTAATGTCTGTTTCTAACCGTTCAAGTATATATACATATATCTACATGTATATGTCTTATTTTGTGGTGTACATAACAGTGCGTGTGCGTCTACACTTGAACAAAATCTAACCAGAAACTGTTGTTGACTAAAAATATGGAAATAAATTACAGTATACGTTTTGTATGAAGGGGAAGAAAATAATTTTTATGAATAAGAAAATAAAACTTAAACGAGGCTAATATATCAAATCTGTGTACATGGTGTTGTTGATTTCAAATCAATGGAATTAGTTAAGTTCCAGAACGCAAGAATTTGCTTAGTGTACGCTTGTTTTTCTGCTTAGCTTCTGTGCGATTTATTTATCTGCCACAGGATAGCACAGGACATGTGTATACCTAGCTAGCTGGAATGGCTTCAGTTACACTATTGACACAAAACGCAAACACATTACCAGGATAGTTGAGCGCCCCGTTCCATCCCGTCCCGTCCCGTATAATCATAAAAATAGAACTCACTGAAAGCCATAAATACACAAAGTTTAATTGAAAAAACGTCAATAATTCGTGGAGGCGACCACCCGTTGAGTTAGCCCCGAAAGGGTCCTTGGCCAAGCCACACACAATTTGAAAACCAGAAGCAGCAGCAAGTTCAAGGTGCCGATGATATAGCCACCATTAAGGCAATATTCCCACGCCTTGTCTTCGACCGACCCAACGCGTTCGGTGGGATTACATAAAGTGCCAATCTAGCCATCAGAATTGGTTATTTATGGAAATTTCCCGACCGGTGGCAGTCAATTCAATATGGATTCCGCTTTATTGAATTGCTCGGCTACGGGTTGCACTTTATGAATATTTCAATTTAATACATTCCCATTCCGCTGGGTCATGAGAAAACAATTTCGCCGGATTACTTGGCAGAATCTTTGGTATGGACACACAATTGGGCGAAATGGGAATAGAAGCAAGGCCATCTTGAGATGATATCACGCTGTAAACTTTAAGTTTCAAGCTGAAGCAGGAATCATGGGAAACTCGCAGTCATTTTATATGGGCTATTTTATATATTTACTATTCAGTATAAATATGAATTTATTTTATTATTATATCGTGTAGTTACAATTAAGCCTTTTTGTGCTATTCTGCAAATCAGCAAGCGTGGCTGGCTCTGTTACTAATTAAAAGGGGCAACTGCATGAGATTCTCCCGGTATCGTATAATTAAATTAAGCTTTGTCGGCTTTCCCGGCGACAAAAGTTCGACACCATTAATTGCGCGGCGTGGAAAAAGCGGGAAAAATTCAGTCGACAATCAATAAAGTCAACACGAAACGGAAAATCGTGGCAGATGCCTAATTGTCCTGTGACACAGCGGGGCGCCAAGCAGCACAGACAGAAACTATGACAACAATTAGCATAAACGACAAACAGACGACATCCAGTCAACTAAGTGGTAGCAATCGCAATCACTTTTCAGCTAAATGGAACTTCTTTAGCCTTCCGTTTTGCCGTTCAACCGTTTGGCTGCTATAAAGTTAATCATACGCACCGTTGAACCGCAGCCAATTCCATTACATGGAGCCATTGCAGTGCCAACAGCTAATACACACGGGTACACACACCGTGAAAAACAAATACTGGCACAGGAAACAGAACACGGAGAACCGAGCAGTTGTCGCGCGCGGAAAATCGAGAATTGTCTTGGCTCGACCGTGAAAAGTGTTGTAATAGCTTGAGGTTGAGGGTTATATTCAATTTGTTGGGTCTGCTCAGTCCTAATGCCGAACACATGTAAGTACACGGCACAAGTGTATGAAATTAGGGTTCACGAGATTTTTGCAAGGCATTTTAACAATCCCAAGAAAGTTCTTGCTTGCATTTTAATTGCTGGACTTAGAAAGAGAACATTAAAGTTTACACTCTTATAACCTTTATTTATTTATTTAGAAACCTTTTAAGGGAATTCAATTCAAACTGACTTGGAAAAACTTAGCTTCCTCGTATGACAATATTGTTTTAATGATTAAATTTTAAGCAAATAGTTGTAGTCTTATATGACCAGCGACTTAGAAGGTCAGGGGCTTCGGTCTTGTAGTTACATTTCCTTATGGCAGGAAATCTAAGCTGTACCCTCATCGATCTAGACTTTTCTTGTTCAATTTTGTAAATTCATAGCTCGAATGCCTTAATGCCCACACAAAGAGAGAAGGTGGCGACAATGGCAAACGACGATGGCGAAAAAATGCAAAGCACGCGAAAATGCGTTTAAAAGTGGGCACAGCTTGTGGAGGAACTATTTGTCCAGGGTGAGGGTTGCAGGAATCTGGGTCTGAGTCCTGGCTTCTGGCCTCTGTCTTCTGGCCGGGTATGTAAATTCACTCCCGAGCTTTCGCCACACAAGTAAAACAACAAACAACAGCACCGAGCTGCGGTGAGTGTGAGTGACAGCCTGGCAGACACCTTGTCAATGTCTTGCGGCTACGAATAACCCCAGTCCGGATCCCCCTGTCCCCGGAATCTCGGGATTCCATGAGCTGCCAAGCAGTGCCAGGCACGGAGGGAAAGAGTTGGCCCTTTTCGAAGGTCTTTTTAATTAAATAAACTATAGAAAAACTGCAGAAATTACTTTTAAATTCATTTGATTAGGATTCACTATGATATCATAGAGTTTATTATTAAAAAATGTTTATTACCAAAAAATTAGTATTGAATATGTTTTTACAATCTAATTTCTAAACTTGTCAAGCATTCTTTCCTGTGTAAAAAATGCAGTCAAAGAAACACAAACAACGGCAACAATGACAACAGGCGAGGAGCAAGCCAAGTGGCAACAGCACAGCTGACTGACTTTTTGCATATACTAAGGTGTTTTCCTATTTGTTTTGTTCCTCCTTTTTTACTTATGGCTGTGGAGGCACAAGTTTAACACGTCTGCTGCCTTTGTTTTTTGGGCCTTGAATGCGCCGCGGGTGTTGCTTTAATGAATGTGCTATGCTGATGCATTTCTTTGGCAAATTGCGAATGCAAAAAGTGTTGCCTACCTTTCAGGGCCCCAGGGAGCGTTCTGAAAATTCACTCGGAATGGGATTATTTGCAAATTAGCGAATAGCCAAGTCTAATTATCCTGGAAATTATTACAACTATTTTAAATACACACTCGACTGAAATTATAGACAACCTCGGTTGTAGTATGGTTATTTCAAATTACATTTAGATGCAAATTTCCCCTCCACTGTAGTGGAATTATGTGTTATTAGTTTAGAAGTTCACATGAAACCTAATAATGCTTTCATTTTAGAACATTCTCTGATTCTCCTGTTAAAAACCTAAAACAAAATTTCTGAAAATTAACTTCAAAAGCAGATTATAACACTTCCTCTCAGGCAACAAGATGCAAAGTGCAAAAAAGGGGAAATTAATTCCTATTATTAAAAACTTTTCAGCAAAAAAAGTTTTGACAGCCTCCATTAACTTTATTTACTAATTATAGTTTTTAAATGAAGCGCAAAATAATTGTTGTTGAAAGGCAACCTGAACGGAAATAATGAAACAAAGAAATAGTTGTATTTCCGTTTAAGCTATCAAAAGTTAAACATAAAGAGCTTCTGCGGAATTTTTAATGATTTTTACTGTTATTTAAAATATGTCATAACTGAAACTACAAAAAAAAAAAAACTCATTTCAGTTGAGTTAATTAAAATTACCATGAAAATAGGAAACATTTAATGGAAAGCAAATTCTGAAAATAGCTTCGTTTACATTTAAAAATGATTATTTTTATGCTTAATTACGAATATGACGAACAAAGAATGCCAGATGCCAGAAAGTAAATTAAATCATTATCAGAGGGAAATAAAAATCTTGTTTAAGCTTATAACAAATTGATATTTAATTGAGTAGCCATTTTTAAACAAATTCTTTTTGAGTCAATAAATATTCAAATGCTCAATCAATCATGGATTATACAAGGATATGTCAGACGAGTGCATTAAAAGTCTCGTGGAAATCCATAAAAATGTATATTTAATTCAATTGCAATTCACAGGGGGCAAAAATCAAAAACCACACCGCAATCCGCACACATTTCAACAGTCACTTCAAGCAGAGCTAATCCATCGTCAGTAAATTTTTGGAGAGCTCCTGGGGACTCCATTAAACTGTCCAAAAATCGATTCCCTGCGGCTTTTCCACCTGCAGCGCCATAAACATCATGGCCCACTTGTGCGGGGCCAGATTTGCAGGAGGACACTGCAACATAGATAACAATTTCCATTTGTTAATTATGTATGCAGGCTGGAAAATGTTCTTGCCCAAACAAGGGCCATTGATGGAGGGGACGAGTGGGCTTTAAGGGGTCCAGAAGGGATACTGCGGATGGATGCTGTGTCGCCCAAAGGAAGAGCAAAGCAAATGCAGTCAAGCGCAAGAGGCAAATAAAGGCTCAAGAAGTTAAACCAGCCAGCTCAAGTATGTGCCATATAAACCATTCAAACACAGACACACCCAGAAGTCAGGGGCGTACTTATTTCGGGAGAAGGAGCTTAAAAGCCTTGTAAATTTTAAGAAGTAAGAAATTAAATTAAACACAACACTGTAGGAAAATTAAAACTAATAAAAGTAAACCATATCAGTTCACTTTTATTTTTCTTTCATTAAAAAACTCATTAATATACATATATAATCCCCTTTTATTGAAACCACCCATAACGCTTATAACATGTTGCTCCAGTCTCCGTTTTGCCACCGATTTGTCGGCTCAATGCACACAGACTTTGGTGGCTGAAAAGCGCTTGAGATTGTTGCCATGTCGAGGAGGTTATGCTAAAATTGTGCCTGAAAAGCTAATGGTTACAGTGGGGGACAAGTCAGAGGCGGGTTGGATGCACACACCACTTACGTGGCGCTGAGCGCGGGAAATTGAATTAAGTTTTCATTTAGCAAATAACTTGGAGCGGCCACAGTTTGTACAAATTGCATTATTTATTGCATTTTGCAGAGGCCACCCGTCCCGACCCCAAATAAACAATCATCACATAAATACGTAATCAACAAGCGACTTCCCTTTCCCCAAAAAAGACGAAGAGAGAGAATCCTTGGCTGGTAGCCAGCGCCACCCATCCAAAGAATGTAAAGCCGGAGTGGCAGCAGGAGCAACACGGACATCCTGGGCGGAGGCGGAGGAGGCCAAAGTGTGAGTGAAGCGATGTGAAGGCAAAGCATTTTGCAATATTAAAGCACAGCGCGAGGAGGACGAGTGTACCTGTTGCCGGCAGGACAAAACAGAGGAGGCGCCGAAACAGGGTCGGGTGAAAGGATAGCCAGCCAGCTGAAAGCCAGTTGAAAGGGCAAAAACCCGTGCTCATCGCAACAATGGCCGTAAATGTGCTGGACTACGATCACTTTGCCATTAGTGCCATTGTGGTGGGCAGCCTGCAGCTGTTCTTCTTCCTGGTCAACTCCATGCTCCACATGGACAAGCTGACGGACTTTGCCGGCGGCGTCAATTTCATCATCATCTCGCTGCTCACGTTTTTCCTCGGCCAAATCGATCGACCCTCGAAGGTGAGTGGAAATTAAATAATAAAAGAGTGTTATAATTTGTAAAAAGTCTTGTTATCTTTAAATTAAGATTATAGAATTCATTATTACATTCAGATAATTTTATACTGCTTTCAAAATTCGAAACATATCTCGCTCAACTCTTATAAAAATAATAAAATGTTCCTGAAATACGTTTTCTGACAATTAAGGTTCTTGGGAAAAGATATATGATTGGTATTCCATTTGTAAAGTAAAAAACATAATTTGCAACTACATTTGTGCAAAAAAAATCCCGCCAACACTTTGGTGTATTTTCTTTTTATTTCTATAGAAAAAGTTTAAAGAGAATAATATATTTAATACATTAATATTATTACTAACCTAAATAATAATATTTAATAAAAACAACTATAATAGGTAAATCAAAAAATCAACATATCATAACTAATGCAATTCACTAATGCAAATTCTGCAATAATACAACAGTCAAATAATAATTTATTGCAATATCAGATGCTCGTAGGCAATGAAGTTTTAAATATCCATAAATAACAAATATGCATCTCATACGTTCGGAATTTTATATTTATTTGATTCAGTAACGAATGGAAACTAATCTTGGGAAGCCGAAGTCTATATTCTCTTGCAGTTTGCTAATGAATTATAGATAGAATCGGAAAACGATAAAAACTAAGCTAAACATTTTCGTATTCTTAAAATCAATATTTATCGAGATGAATTTGACAAATTTTTTTAAGAAATCAAAGTTTAAAAAACCCATAACGCAGCCATCTTATCATTAATTTTAATTTGGAAAGCTTTTTATTATGGTAATTATTCTGCATAATTTAACGATGTAAGCCCGTATAAAAATTTGAAAAAATGTGTAAATTTTAAATATAATATGAATTAGAACTGAGATATGTAGCTAGGTTGACTCTACTGATGATGCTGATTAAGACTATATATGATTTGTAGGGTCGGTAAAGACTCCTTCACAGCATTAAAAGCTTTTGACTATAATTATAATACCCTTTAAAAAGAATTTTTTCTTACAAAAAGTAATAATACAAATTAACAAAATTTGTAGCTGTGTCAGTCGTTAGGTTTCATTGTTTTGCATATTATTTTCACAAAATGCAATCTTCTAAACTTTAAACGTGGCCATAAACATGTCACCCAACTGAGCGTGAAGGGTTGCTAGGGGCCAAGGGCTGGCAGGATGGCAGGATGGCTGGGTGGCTGGGTGGCTGGGTGGTGGTTTCGGCTGCTGACATTGAAAACTGAGCTTCGCATACGCACACATTAACATCAGAGCAGAGGCAAAAACATCCATTGCCGACAAACAAAAGGTTACGCCCATCGAGGCCCACATTGCGCTGTTGTTCCTTGTTGTGTTCGCCGCCTGTGTGTTCCATGTCGTATTTGTTGCCATATCTGTGCCGCTGTTGCCGTGGCAGCTGTAGAGCTGGAGAGCTCGGCTGTGGCATGACCTTGGCATCGTGAGGGTCCTCAATCCGCCTGTCGGCGTGTCCTTCCGCCAGCCTAACACGCTGCCTAAGCAGCTAACTAACGCTATTTGCGGGCAGCTTGAAGGCGATTGCTCCGTCAGGTCGGAGATTTCCCACAATTTTCAATTAATTAATCTGCCTTGATGGCCACTTTTGTAATTTTCCCTGTCATTAGCAAGGCATTCCTGGATAGAATGATGTTACCTGTCAGTCCTGTGTAAGCCTGGGGCTCTTTAATTAATATTTTAAGCGAAATTTCAAGGGAGAATTGGAGAACTTAATTAACTTGATTAAGAATATAAATAAAGAGATATTAAAGTCGCATTCTTCAAGTTAAATGTGCCACAAAAAGGTACTTGGTTGAAAATATATAAAGTTATATTTAAATTCTCTTAAAAAATCCCTATGTTTTGGCTACTCATTTTCTTCTTAAATAAAAGACAATTAATTACTTAAACTCTGGTGTTGACAGTTGCCTTGGGTATAAGTCATCAATGGAAAACCCATAGTTAACAAGGCAAAAATAAATGAATTATTTTGTTTCCAATTTTCTTTCATTTCAGTTTACGCCTGGAGGAAATGATATTTATCTTAATTGCTGACACTTTGGAATAAATTAATATTTCATAGATTTTAATTATGATTGCTGCACTTTGTTAATGGAGAATAATTTGAGATAAATCAAAAAGTTAACAATGTTAAATACCATTTATGACACGTATCAGCTGTTGGCCAATTTGTAATATTTTTGTATTAATTTATTTGTATAATTTAAAATCATACAGAGTATGGGATACTTCATAAACCAATAATAAAAATAGTATTAACATTAATAGTAAAATATCTGTCGAAACTTAAACCACTTTAATGAAAAGTTGGCAAAATTATTAATAATATTATTTAAATGAAAATAATGTACGTTTAAAGTCCTCTGAAAGCATTTTATCCTTTTCAAAAACTTTACTTTAAATGCTGACACATAATTGCTAAAAGTAGATGGTTTATTCTTAATCACACCTATTGAGCTCCCTTAAAAACATTACTTTAATTGGAATATTGCAAGAGAGCATATTATAGTTTAATATGTTTGATGCAAAACAAAGCCCGTAAAAGCTTTAGTTTCAGTTTCCATTTCTCCACTTTTCCATTTTCCATTTAACGCCCACAATAGTATCGATTCACTCAATAGCCCATGAAAGCTTGTTAAAGGGCTTATACCAATTTGGCCAGCAAATTGAGAAATAAATTCACATCTATCTGCTGATATTGTAGTTGTTTCTGTCCTGGTCACAGCACATACAAAAAACAACAAACAAACAAATAACTAAGTGGCAGAAATTGCACACGCAAGAATTTCATTGCGGACACGCTTTGCATTTATGTTCAATTAATTTTCAGTGCCACAAATTTGTGACTTGTGACAATAGAGCAAAACGCAGAATGCATTAAATTCAATATCGATCGTCGATTAAATTTAAATGGCTGTCATCTGCCAGCTGAATTGAGTTGGCAATGAAAAATGTTTTCCTTTAAAGAAAGAGAGAGAGAGAGAGGGCGGCGGGCGAACGATGCGCCGTCGGGCGGAAGCGGAAGTGCTGCCATTGCTTGTGGCTGTTGTTGCTTGTTCGGTTCGCTGTGTGTCGGTGCGGTGTCTGTGTGTCCGTGCCATAAAAATGCTTTACTGCCGCCGTATGCAGTCGCCTGGCTATGGTTTATCGCCGTTCAGTCTCGCTTAATAAATCGAGCGATAAAATGGCTCGAGACCCGGCTGAATGGCAGCTCAATCAAACTACAGCAAAATAGGCAATCATGTCCGCCTCGCCGTACGACAAACCCATTAAACTATCAGCCGGGGCGCACTCAATAAATTGCCGGGCCCGGCCTCAACGTATCCTCGCCATGACCTCATCCTCCAGGAGTGACTTTGGCTGCGGTTACGGTCATGAGCAGCCTGAGCTGCCATTGACAAAGCAATTTAACAATTTTTCCCTGCATTTTTCATGAGCCTTTGTCGAGGAGGGGCGGCCACTCCTCCGTGCGAAATGCATTTCTGATTCCATTTTGCCGCTCGCTCAATGCCGTTTATAAATATGCAAAGTGCACAGTCCGGGACTCATTCATTATTGAACCAACTCAAACCCGTCAGTCCACTCATCCATGGACGCGCTGGTCTCGATCCCCGCCAGCTGCTGCCCCGTGGTCACTTCGAGAGGGAGGGGCAGTTGAAAGCATAGAGCCGCCGCCTGCACTCGTGCGTGCTTCGCTTTATTTATGCAAAATTTGCATGACCACCGAAAGTGGTTTCGTAAAATAAAACATCACAAGAACAATTCTCCACTGACGATGCAAAAATATACCAGTAAATTCGTGCGAATTGCTCGTTGGCCAAGTGAAATTTTGTACGTTTTTCTTTTTGGCGGAAACGGGGACGACTTCCTAGATACCCTAGATACCAGATACCAGGACGAAAATGCCTTTGTTATGGCGGATATAGGTGCTAGAATAGTTACGAGAGAGACTTCCTCCTCGTCAAGGCAACGGCCTCAGCCTTGAACTCGAACTTTTGCGGAGCCTCCCTCAATTGCCCCGGGTCTGAGAATAGCTCATTCCCAAATGGCAACCACTAAATGTTTATTGCGATGCCGACGTGATCCGCACACTCCCACACAACACATTTATTGCCAAAATAAAATTCCGCAAAAAAGATATTCAGCAACCTGAGACCGCATTTCAGAGGGATTGGGAATTTAATATTCTGACATCGAGAAAACAGCACAGGTTTGAAAAGTTACTTTATTTTAGTCATGAGTAAAAAAGGGTAGTGCTGGTGCAGGTTTAACATGATAAGATTTATGTTGGCCAACACTAATTCTTAACACTGTTAGAAGAAAAAGGAAAATATATTATTAAACTATTACAAAATTAATCAAATTCCTGCTTAAGTAAACGAAATGAAACCCTTTTTTAAATTACCAAAACTTTAAAATAACCTATCAAAACCAATAAGCTGGTTTGGATATCGATTTATTTTGAAAGAAAGCCTCAATATCATTAGTAACCCATACTAACCGATCTTAAAATATATCTAGTTTTATCTTATTTATTCATTATTTAAATATAAATACCTTAAAAATAATTAATAATCTTACCATTATCAATCCTCTCCCTTTCTAAATCCAGGCCTATGACAGTCGCCAGCTGATGGTGACCCTCTTTGTCTGTTTGTGGGGCGCTCGACTCTCCGGATATTTGCTCTACAGGATTGTCAAGCTGGGCCGTGACAAACAGTTCGAGGATATCCGCCGCAACATCATACGCTACGCGGTCTTCTGGACATTCCAGGTGAGAGAGCAGGTGTACATGCATATAAAAATATATATAAATGAACTGGCGGGGGGCACGAGGTTAGGGCAATCAGTTGCGTCAGCCAGTTTTCAATTTCGCTCTCAATGACAGAGCCTTCAACTTGGAGGTGGAAAATCAATCAAACTATCACTAATTGACACGTGCGCAAAGGTTGTGAATATTTCATATTTCAGCACTTGTCGTCCACCCAAACTTGGCCCCATGCAAATGTCAGCGTCAGCAGACCGGTCTCCATGTGATTCTGGCCCAGACCAGCAACAACCACCCGCACCCACACCCACATTCAGACCAACAATTAAAACGCCATTCTCTGTGGCAGAATGACATGACACATGTGGGCGACGCCTGCTAAACGTTGTTGGGGTGGTGGGTGAGATGGGTGGTGGTCTGGTGATGATCCAGGGTATGAAAGTGGTGGACGACTGCAGTCCGTCCTTCGTGGCGTGCTGCATGTGGCATGTTCCGCCATCGTTTTGTCTGAATTTATTTCCCATTTCACCCGAATTTCAATCACTTGTTGCCAGTTGAAACACAGCCAATTTGAGAAATCGGGGTGAAGTGCACTGAATCAAGGCATCATTGAGCTTTATAGACATGCATTTTTCTGGTTTATAAAAACATTAAAATAATAAATTTAATAGAAGAGCATTTGGGAGTTGTATAATTATAATCGAAGGCTTAAATTAGCATTAAGAAACAATTATATGTATCTTATAACATTCTCTTCCCTATCTTAGGCCGTGTGGGTTTACATTGTGTCACTGCCTGTAATAATTATCAACTCGCCGCGCCACTCACAACCACATGCTCCCAAGACCATGACCACACTGGACTCCACGGGCACGGGTATGTTTATTGTGGGTTTGCTGGCGGAGACCTACGCGGATCTGCAAAAGTTCTCGTTTCGCCAGGATCCGGCCAATCAGGGCAAGTTCTGCAACGATGGTGAGCTCTTAACTATAATTGGTTTCTGTGCAATCTTTAAATAGCAATCTCTTAAAGGCTTGTGGAGCGTGTCACGGCATCCCAACTACTTTGGTGAGGTGGTCATCTGGTGGGGCATCTTTGCCATATCGCTGAACGTAATCAGCGGCCACGAGTGGGTGGCAATTGCATCGCCAATTTTTACAACAATGATCATTCTCTTCCTGTCCGGGATTCCGTTGAGAGAGCGAAGTGCCGATGAGAAGTACAAAGAGTAAGTTACATTAAGTACTTATAATCAATTCATTAGACATTCATTACATTAAAAAATTTAAGTGTATTGTACTATTAAATACCTTCAAAAATGTAATAAGAATATTTCTTATTTTATTCCCTCAACATCTACAGTCAGCTGGAGTACCGAAAGTACAAGGCCTCCACGTCACCGCTGATTCCAGTGCCGCCTGCCGTCTATGTGGAGGTGCCCAGTGCCCTGAAGTTCATCCTGTGCTGCGAGTTCCCCATCTACGACTCAATGCGAATCCAGAAGGACCTTAGTCCCTACTCGCTCTCTATAGCACGCTCGCATTCGCACATCTAGCAGTCAGTGGCCCACTCCAGCAGTGCCCATGCTGGCGTGGGTCAGGTTCACACCCATACCCATTCCCAGGGCCACGGTCATCCCCAAACCCACTCGGGGGGCCAGTCAACGACGGGCCACTCGCTCCACAGGGGCCACTGCTACGGAGCCAACGGTGGTGATGCCGAAAGCCACCACAATTGCGGCGGGAGCTGCCGGAACGTGCACGTCAAGTCCAATCCGTATCAATGTGAGGCGGGCTACGGCCACTACCCGCTGCGCCACACGGACGACGAAGACACGGACGATGGGATCATCTACATGGCCCGCACCCACTACTTCCACGGCCAGAAGGAGCAGGAGCAGCACCTGGCAAAGGCGGCGGCCAAGTGCAGCTACCTGGCGGAGGAGGAGCTGGCCTCCGACTATGACGAGGACGTGCCGGCCATCGATCTCAGCAAGACCACCAGTGCGGAGAGCTTTGGCACCCGGGTGCAGACGGAGCAGGCTGTCAATGCCGATGGCCTGACCGTAACCGTGACCACGATTTTGTGATTGAAATTTTAAGATTGGTTTACGGGTTTTTACTACAAGGTGCGTGCAAAGGGGCAGACCACTGTGAGCACAAATGGGGCTTGGTTTTTCTGTATTTAAAAACTTGTTAAACTTTTTACTACAAATGGGGTTAAAAATGCCTCATTCAATAGATAGTTTTTTCGAATATTAAATAAGCTTTAAATAAGATCTTTAAATCGGATGGGATTTCAGTATATTACATTAAAATTCTTTAGTTTTTGTGTATTAGAATTTGAAAACTTAACATAAAGTCTATTCAACATTAATGAATAATAGGCAGGGAATATAGTTAACAAATAATATAGTAGGCATCCCCTTTTAAATTTCTTATTTTTCTTATTTATTTTTTACAGTCTTCAGATCTCTCTATTGTAAATAATAAACTTTGTGCAACACCGCGAATGAGTGATAAGCTATATAATACCTTAATTAATTCCTAAAATATTGAATTGTCTTTCAAATTCCGTGAGAACTCTTCTTAGCATAAAATTCAATAACTGAGAAAAACCAAAATATGATTAACAAAAATTTGAAAACACTAAAATGAAAGCCTAAGTTTGAAATGCACACTTTGGTTGACCCTTTTGTACGTACCAGAAGCCTCGCTTAGGGCGAGCTGTGGGGGGGATGGGATTTTTTGCTGACGAATGCCAAAGTACCGGGCAGTAGTACCAAGGATCATGGACTCATGGATACTCACAGCTGTATAACACTCTAGTCTCTATGCTATAATTGCTCAAATAACTAACGTGCCTCTTATGTGCTCTGCGCACCCTTAGATTGTTGCACTCTTTCAAAGTTTACGTAAACTCTAGTCTCTGTTGAACCCGAAAAATATATATTGTATACATATGTATATCCCTGTATCAGCTACATATTTTCTTATCGAACACACACACCCACCAAACAAAAGGAATCGAATCTGAAGCCATTTGAACCGAAACATATCCCAAAGGCAACAGCAACTGCAACGGCAACCCAACCAAAAGGTCGATTTACATATACAAATCGTATTCAAAGTACAAGAATTGTTAGATCGAAGTGCTTAGAGGGCGATATAGAAGGCGTTCGATAGCCATTGTTATTTTATATACTGGATTAACTACTCGTAATCGTAGTGGCTAAATGGAAATAAACTCAATATGTATGTTACCAAAAATGTTCTCGATATGCGTACGTGTCGTCTGTGTCTAGTTTGTGTCTCAAATGTAAAGCAGTATTACCTAATGAACGAATTGTACCTAACTGATTATGCTGAGTATGTAAACTAATAAACGAAACAAAAGAAGGTAATATGTGATATGTTTTATTTTAACCTAGATGTGGATATCTATCTATTATCCTCTCCGGCTCAAAGTCCATCCAGGTAGGCCATAGAAAACCATATAGATGGCCTTGACCCATATGCCAACTGACTTCCCATTTGGTAGCCGAACTTGTCGACGCACAAAATCCTAAGCTTCAGTAACTGTGAACGTCTCGTGGAGTTAACAACTAGGTCTAAAATTATCAGTAAAAATTGTCTGTACTTGTATAAATTCCTAATATACATTTGGAACAAAATTATCATAACTTTTGCAAACAATATTTGTGCGGAACTCACGTGTGTGTAGTAGTAGTAAAACATGCTTGGGGTTTCGCGACAGCTGTTCCGGATCTGCAAGAGGTCTCCGGTGTGCCGTCGCCATGTGGCCGAGATGATCCGCCGATCCTATGTCTCGCAGGCCATCAACCAGATGCTGTTGCTCCAGCAGATGGAGATGTGCGCTGATCAGCCCTCTCGGGCCCTGGTCATTGGCGTGTATGCTGACGAGGAGGATAAGAACGATGCCGGTATCCTGACGCCCGCCGGTTGGAAGTACAACCTTCAAAAGACCAACGGCAGGCTGATCGAAGTGCTCCGGATGTCTGGACCCATGCCCCGAAGAGGTGAGGCGCGTCTGCTGTTCGCCATCGAGCCGGAGCGCATTCCCTACTACTCGGTGGTGGCCGTCGTCGGTCTAGGCAAGGAGTGCCTGGGATACAACCCCTACGAGGTGCTCGACGAGCAGAAGGAGGCCATCCGACGATCGGTTGCCGCCGCCTGTCGCGTTCTCGCAGAACTGGATACTGACCGGATTGAGGTCGAGAACTGCGGCCACGCCGAATCTGCGGCCGAAGGAGCTGCCCTTGGCATCTGGCTATACCAGGAGCTGCGTGACCCCAAGACTCGCATCTTTGTCCCGGCCATCGATTTGTATTCCACCAAGGACGAGATCTGTGACATTGAAGGCTGGCGCATTGGGCTCCAAAAGGCAGCCGCGCAGAACCTGACCCGCCAGTTGCAAGAGATGCCCTCCAACCTGCTCACTCCCACCGCCTTTGCCCAGAACGTCGTCGAGGTGCTCTGTAAATCTGGAGTTAACGTAGAGGTCAAAGTGGAGGGCTGGGCGGAAAGCCAGTCCATGCACGCCTTCCTGGCGGTGGGTAAGGCCTCCTGCGAGCCCCCAATCTTCCTAGAGCTGAGCTACTACGGCACCTGTGCCGAGGAGCGACCCATCGTGCTGGTTGGCCAGGGAATTACCTACGACGCGGGTGGCCTTTGCCTCAAAAAGAAAGGAGAACTCTTCCACATGCGCGGTGACATGACCGGAGCGGCAGTGGTAGTGGCGACGTGTCGGGCGGTGGCTGGACTCAGGTTACCAGTAAGTTCAAGCCTATTCCTGTTTTAAGCTTTTTCTAATCCCTTCTCAAAGGTTAACATCCGAGGCCTAATTCCTCTGTGCGAGAACGTTGTTGGCTGCAACTCCTTCAGGCCCGGCGATATGGTCAAGTCCATGAACGGCAAGACTATCGAGGTTCAGTGCACGGATCACGAGGATGTCCTCGTGTTGGCCGATGCCCTGCTTTACGGACAGAACTTCTGTCCCAAGTGCATCATCGATGTCGGGACCTGCTCGGGATACATGCGACAGTCTCTGGACGAGGCCGCCTGTGGTGTGTTCACCAACTCGGAAATTCTGTGGCAGCAGATCAAGCACGCGAGCATGCACACTGGTGACCGGGTTTGGCGTTTCCCCCTGTGGAACTACTACAGCAAGGCGGTGCGAGCCGGACCACGCAGCGATGTCCAGAACTACGGCGTTGGTCGGGGAGGACGTCCCTGCAAAGCTGCCGCCTTCCTGCGAGAGTTTGTGCCTTGCGGACAATGGATGCATATTGTGAGTATTCTTGTTCATTACTCCTGCCGCGGATGTATAACCTTGGAAGTATTTCTCCTTTCAGGACGCCACCAATGTAATGGTCACCAACGGCATAGACTTTGAGTACCTTCGTCGCGGCATGGCTGGACGACCCACGCGGACCCTGGTCGAGTTCATTGCGCAGACCATCTGCAAGGACACAGCTCCCAAGATGGGCAAATAGTGTAAACAGATGGGGATTTCAGAGTGGCCCTTCCCCAAAAGCTACTAACACGTCCAAAATTATAGTAAATCCTTATGGAGTCGGTTTGTCCAGGTTCTTCAAAATTGTACGCGAGATTGTTTTTAGGGCCCAAAAAAAACTTCCTTGTTCGTTTACAGTAATCCAAATATTAAAATGATATACTATATATCGGGCTTTAATGCAATGTGAGGTCTATTTGTGTTTGGCATACGTGTTCTACACTCATTCCCAGCTAAGGCATAGTATAAAGACCACTTTAAAAATGGAAGGACTTTGACAAACAATTGTATTTAGCGTATCGTTTTACTGTCTAATTATTGTAAGATGCAGTTGTATTTTTACGTTCATGATTTTTGGTCAAGGTAATGCCAAAATTTTAAACAATTTCCATATACACGGATATGATAAAGGTGTGGATCACAGATCTGTTTCAGTCAATATGAATACTCGGATATGGCTGAATTGACTCAGCTGGCGATGCTAATCAAGAATAATATAGTTTATGGGATCGGTTATTCTTTCTTTTCCTTTTATAGATTTCAGTAAGTTTAATCAAGATTCTAAATGGGTAAAGAGAATACCTTAAAATAGCCATATAGACGCAAAATTCTCGCTCATGTCTTACCTGAGAAGAAGCTTACTTTGCATGCCAAAGTTCGTATGTTATGTATTTCTTTAAGATATTGTAATTATATGAGGGGATCAAAACAAATATAATTAAGGCAAAATTTATTAATTTTATTTTATGTATCTGTTGGTTTTCCGTAGACCACAGCGTATGGAATTTAAAATTTACTTCTATTATATTTTTAAAACTTGTAATATTTTTTAGTTTGGGCTTTAATTTTATAAAACTATCTCAGATATAGATAATTTATACTACAATATTGTTGAAATATGAAAACTGATTTATTTTAAGCATGTCAATATATTTTCATATCATCTGTAAGTTTTTTTTTTTAAATTGGATAATTAATGAAATTGGAAATAAAATATTGACCTAAAATCACAATCTATGTATATTTATATGTGATTATATACATATTTTATACTCAAAAACAAAAATTAATTTTAGTTTTACATATATGCATATCAAATATTAAATTTTAAAAATTAAATTTTTTGCTTAAAGAGTTTTCATAATGTAATCCCTTATAAAATTAAAAATAAGGAGGGGGAAAAAGTATTTTTCAGCTGAACAGATCTACATCGACTTGTCTGTTAATGCTGATTTGGAAAATATATCAGATCTACAGATCATACAGATCTAGAATGCTATTTGCTTTTAAGGTATGGGAGCTGGTACTGGGTAAAAATATTTTGTTACAGATGACAGATATGGTTGTAAGCCTATTCAGTTGCATTACAAAGTTCTCAGCGTAGAGAACTAGCATATTTGCGAATCTCGATGTGTAACTCTAGAAAGCTGTGCCAAAGCTGTCAGTGTCTATACGACTATACAAGAGGCTTCAGTATTAGTTTAATTCGTTAATAGTCGGAACACGTACACTTTTCAAGTTATTCTTGGTGAAAAATTCGATGAAATATTAAAAAGCGCCACAAAAAATCGAAGTGCTAGTTAAAACTTTGTAGTATCCTTTCGTATTGATTAAAGTCTATTTTGGATTCGAAATGTTAAGGTTAACGCGCAACACACTCTCCCGGGCTTGCGGCCTCCGTCGTTCTATCCGTTGGCCGGAGACCAATTCCCGTAGGTACGCCTCGCAGGCAATCAACCAGATGCTGCATTTGCAGCAGATGGAAATCTGCGCGGATCCTCCATCGCGTGGATTGGTCATAGGCGTATTCGCGGACGAGGAAGACAAGAACGACGCCGGCATCCTGACGCCCACAGGCTGGCGGTATAACCTGCAGAAGACCAACGGCCGGTTGCTGGAGGTGCTTCGGATGTCCGGACCCATGCCAAAGCGAGGCGAGACCCGTCTGTTGTTCGCCATCGAGCCAGAGCGCATTCCCTACTACTCGGCGGTGGCGGTCATTGGGCTAGGCAAAGAGTGTCTGGGCTACAATCCCTACGAGGTGCTTGACGAACAGAAGGAGGCCATACGACGCTCAGTGGCTGACGCTTGTCGCATTCTCGCCGAACTGGACACGGACCGCATTGAAGTAGAGAACTGCGGCCATGCCGAATCTGCGGCCGAAGGAGCTGCCCTAGGCATCTGGATCTACCAGGAGCTGCGAGATCCCAAGCGGCGAATTTCTGTACCCTCCATCGACCTGTACGCTAACAAGGACGAGATCTGTGACATCGAGGGCTGGCGTATCGGCCTGCAAAAGGCAGCCGCCCAGAACCTGACCCGCCAACTCCAGGAGATGGCCTCAAACCTGCTCACTCCCACCGCCTTTGCCCAGAACGTCGTCGAGGTGCTCTGCAAGTCCGGTGTCAATGTGGAGGTTAAGGTTGAGGGCTGGGCGGAGAGCCAGTCCATGCACGCCTTCCTGGCCGTGGGAAAGGCCTCCTGCGAGCCCCCAATCTTCCTTGAGCTGAGCTACTACGGCACCTGTGCCGAGGAGCGACCCATCGTGCTGGTGGGTCAGGGCGTGACTTACGATGCTGGTGGTCTTTGCCTGAAGGACAAGCATGAACTCTTCCATATGCGAGGCGACATGACCGGAGCAGCGGTGGTGGTGGCAACGTGTAGGGCGGTGGCTGGACTCAGATTACCGGTGAGTCTTTTTGCTTATGTCTTAGGATCTGGCTTTATCTCCATTCCTGTTAGGTGAACATCCGCGGTCTAATTCCCCTGTGTGAGAACGTCATCGGCTGCAACTCCTTCCGGCCCGGCGACATGGTCAAGTCCATGAACGGTAAGACCATCGAGGTTCAGTGCACGGATCACGAGGATGTCCTAGTGTTGGCCGATGCACTGCTTTACGGACAGAACTTCTGTCCCAAGTGCATCATAGATATTGGCACCTGTTCGGGATACATGCGGCAGGCTCTGGACGAAGCCGCCTGCGGTGTGTTCACCAATTCTGAAATCCTGTGGCAGCAGATCAAGCACGCGAGCATGCACACTGGTGACCGCGTGTGGCGTCTTCCCTTGTGGAACTACTACAGCAAGGCGGTGCGAGCCGGACAGCGCAGTGATGTCCAGAACTACGGCGTTGGCCGCGGTGGACGTCCTGCAAAGGCCGCTGCTTTCCTGCGCGAATTCGTCCCCTGCGGCCAGTGGATGCATATAGTAAGTTCAGCTTCTGAGTAGTTATCGACAGCATCTAATGGGTAAATTTCGTTTCGTGTGCAGGATGCCACCAATGTGATGATTACACGAGGAGACGAATTTGAGTATTTGCGCGAGGGCATGGCTGGACGTCCCACAAGGACTCTCATTGAGTTCATTGCGCAGACGATTTGTAAGGATACGGCTCCAAAGATGGGCAAGTGATGCTCCTTCGAATGGGGTTATACTAGCACTTTCTGCAAGACCAGACGTACATCATGTTATTTTACTGACTACTGACTACTGAGAAACCTAGAACATTCAGATTTTGTAATTGGGACAACACGATGTTAAAATTACTTGGTTTTAATGACATATAAAAATCAAACAGTTATATAAAAAGTAACCGTAAGTGCTGTATACTTATGGGGTTCCTGTAAGTGGTCGTTTAGATTCAGGCTAACTAAAGTAGTTGATTGCTTGTTTCATTCCCTTGATATCAGACAGGCTGTAAAGCATGTGGGCAAGAAAATATCTTTTCAGGCGATTGCTACGCCAGCGTCACTGCGTGGGTAATCACCACATTAATATCGATCGGCGGATAGTTTTGCAGCAGCTTTACATTTGAGGCGAAGTCGTTCTCCAAGATAGCTTCCCTTTGGATTCTGGTAAGTCAAAAAAAGAAATAATTTAGTCTAAGGAAACAATTCCCTGACTTATCTTACAATATCATGGAACAGCAAATTCTGATGAGAAAATCGAAGCGATGCTCATCTGAGAAAACAGAGTCCCAAATGCGCAGCACATCCGGCAGTGGAAACTCCTGGGAAAGGAGCAGTGTGAGCCACCGGAAGCTGTAGTACTGCGGATGCAGTTCCTGGCTCTTCAGTTGCTCATATATGTCAATGTCCTTTTCCTTGAGCATATTCGATAGTCTGGCCATCATACACTTGATGCCACCCTCGGCATCGTCAAGGGTCTTGATAAAAAAGTCTCGGATCTCGCCCATCAGGGCAGTGAAGCAGAAAAAGCAGTCCGCCTCGGCGTGGGCGCGGTACGATAGATCTGGATCCGAGGCCATAACGTAGTAGATTGGCCCCACGATCTCGTTCATGCCTTGCACGTAGCCCTGACCGGGATTAAGCTTGGCGTAGATGAACAGGATGCGCTGCACAACCTCCCAGTGAGCTTCCTGTCCCTCCTCCATGGCGGCATAATTTTCCACGGAGCGCTTAGTAATCAAATTTATCTGAGGGCATAAAATCCAAATTAGTTTTCAGGGTGAAGGAGCGTGGGAACACTTACTTGCTGCTAAATTCCAAATGGCAGGCACAATGCAACATATTCTGAGCTTATTTTAACGCGTAATTAAGGATTCTAACTCACCTTCGTCATGCCTAGGCCCTTCCGTTCTACGTTCGCTGAGCTGAGCACGGCAGGAACCACCCTTTCATGCAGCCGCCGCCCGTGCTCGCCTCTGCTATGGACCACAATATCGCAGGGATAATCGGTGGGCTGCTGGAAGAAGGAGATGTCCGGACAGAGGCGCCGCACATCCTTGTCGATCTGCAACAGAAACTCATTGTCGTTGAAGAACGTGTTCCAGGCGCTCTCTGGTCCCTCGCTCAATGGATGATCTTGCAGGCCAACGCCCCTTGATTCCACGTCGTCACCGGAACCTTTATTCGCATGACCAGGCGGTAGCACTAGCTCCTCGATGAACTGCTGGTACAGGGCTCGCTTCTGAGTCAGTGTCGAGGTCCAACTGCTGCGCCGAGGACCCAAGTAGCCCAGGAGGAGCTTCCAGCTGAGCGCTCGAAAACTTTGCACATCGGGCACACCTGTGGATTGTCAGACACAGTTTGATTTCTGCTGATATATTTGGTTACAGGTTTCGGGGTATATCCTACCATTAAACGTCAGTTTTCGCAGTTGCTTAATGTCGATCAAGTCCTGGGGGGCAGCTAGGACATCTTCGAATTCCTTTACACTGCGTGAAAGCGAAAGTTGTGCTCTTTGTTTACAAGTTACTTTCATTCAGCGAAAAGTGCCCTTACCGCGCCTTAAACATGGACATGGTGAAGCTGTATACAGGCGGCTTTGCCTAAGCTCCATACAGGACACTTTTGTGGTTTTTTGGCTATCTCGGATAATTAATTAATTGAGGAAAATCGTAGAATTGAAAATCACAACAAACATTTAGTGTTACCGTTGGTTGGAGTTCGTAGTTCACGGAGTTGCCGGATTGATTATCGTTTTACTTATAAAAAAACGTGCCAGTGATGCCCATTTCGATATTAGGCGCTATATTTTGAATTTACTGTTTGAGCCATGAAACCTTAAATGTGTAAGTTTGGCTCGACTTGAAGCGCTGACTTATTTCCAGCACCCCTAGGAGACTCAAATACCATTGACCTGTCCCTTTCATTCATGATTTTGCACAAGACTCACCAACTCACCTGTGTGTTGACTCATTATTAGTTTCTTTGCGCTCAATTTTGTGGCCTTTCGTGTTTTTATTTGGCTTTTCAATTGCCTGGTAGTGAACACACACACGCAGACGCGAGCAGACGCACTGCGGAGCGCGCGGTTCGAATAACAGAATTTTTAGTGAATATTTCTGAATGTTTGGGGAGCGTTTGTTGTTTTCCTTTTGTTTACGCTAGTCTCTGGTGAGCAATGACGACCAGCAGATCAGCAGCGGCGACCGCGTCATACAGGAGACCGGCTTTCTGGAAGGTGACCGTACCTGGATACGATTACCCGCAGCAGCAGCATCGTCCAGTGCCACCGCCACCCACAAAGCCGCTGCTGCCTCCTTCTTGCCGGCGACGCAGCAGCAGCGGGCTGAAGAAGCGAGTCCGCTTCGCCGACGAACCGAACGTGGGGGTAAGTCCCCAAGAAAGCCACATCCCATCGCTTGTCAATCATCGCCAACGAGTACTTGTGTGCATTCTGTGTGTGTGTTTGTGGCCCCAATTCACGCCGGGCCGTGTCAGAAATCAGTTCAATAACATTTTGCCCCTGGCGGCTCGTAAATTTGTCAAGTGAAATTTAATTAATTAGCCGCTGCTGCACTTTTGGCCAAGTAAAACAGCTGTCGAAGAAGCGGCCCAAAAAAGATGAATCGAATGTATTTTCCACATTATTCTAATTGACGCAATAATCGCAGCATTTTCCATTTTAGAACCGGTTCACGGACCTTTTCTTGAGTGTATTTGAAGCTTTACAAGCTAACATGTAATGTTATATTTAAATTTACATTTTATTTAGTTTTTTAAAGATTTCAGTAGGCCTTCGTAATCAAATTTTAGTACCGCATTTCGTAAAAATGAATATGTGGGGAAAGTAGGTACTTATGTATCCGACAGACTTCCTTTAAAGAGGTTGAAAAGTTTATACATTTTTTACTTATAAATTATAAGAAAACTTCGAGTAAGAGCAGAAAAAATATGTATAGAATATAGTCCAATATTTGGTTTGTCGCATATTGGCTTTGGTATTCACTCCCTAAATTCCCAGTGGTAGTAAGTGCCTTTAAATGATCTATAACCCATTCAAGGCTACCCCCTGTATAAGAAACATAAATTGCGACGAAAGTCTGGCAAAAACATTACAGAAACGAACCAAATGAAATCGAAATGAAAACAATTCTGGCCTCAAATAGTAAAAACATTTCAAGCCCCAGCCAAAAAGTGCCGAAAGCAGTATAAATGGAATGAGAAATGAAATGGCACGCCATATATATTCTGTATATCGGCAGGCAGCAAGCACTAAACAGCGGAAAACCGACAGGCAGGAAAAGATTTTTCCGTTGTAAATATCAAAATGTTGCCAAAAATAAGAAGTCATTTTACAGATCACTTTATGCATGGGATAGTACAAATATCTTAAAATGTATAAAAGAAAGCAATGGCCGTCAACCGTTAACCTTTTTCCATTGACTAATGCTGCAAAAATCTGATATGATTAGTTTGTTGTTTAAATATCAAATTAGGCAATGGTCCCGACTCACTTCGCTTAGTGGGACGTCAGTAAATAAATTTAATTACACTCTCTATAGGTTGCCTCATCGCTCGGCAAACACAGATTATGTGAGCAGAAAAAAAAAACACCAATAAAATTGCTAAAAATGTGGAAAAAATAACAGATGCCCAGATTTTTTATATTTTTCCTTAGCCCCAGAGAAGATAATCATCAAAACGTTCGTTTGGATGATGACATGTGGCATTCATTTCATTCAGGGTCAGTCTGCAACTGGATCAAGTGCTGTCCCAAAATGTGGCCCACGAAATGCAGAATGCGAGAAATGCAGGGCACAAGACAAATTAAACAATAAGAGCGAACAAAGGGGCGCAATTTGGCATGAGTTCTAGGTGATTTTTGAATACTCTTTGGCATAAGAAATTTAATTTTAAAATAAATAGAAACATTTAAAGGGAAGGCATATCCTAGACGGAATAAATTAGGCTCTACTTATTGTAGTCATATTGTGAATAGGTAAAAAAATCTTTGATCTTGACAGCAACCAAAAGAATATCTTAGTTCCCATGGCCGTTTTCAATAAATTAGAGTTTTCTCTGGGTTTGATCACCTACATACAATACATATAACACAAATTATAATTTGTTGCGCTTAAAATATTCTGGTAGTGACACTGCGACATAGTTTACGTTTAAAACACACATTATCCCATATCTAAAAGCTTAAAAACATACAACCCTACCTGGCGTATGCGTAATGTCACCTCTAGGAAGTTATCATAGGCATATATAACAACCTATGTGGGAAAGACAAAGTACCCTGAGCGGAAAACCCACTCACCGATTAGGATTCGCCAATCGAATTCATGTTTCTCAGCATGTAGTCGCCGTTGCCGGCGGATATAAGATGTGTGTATGCCGCATAGATGTACATATGTATTTACGATTTGTGGCGCAGTGTACCAAGATCCGCTTCTGCTGCTTCTTCGGCTTCTGCTTCTGTTGCTTCTGCTTTTGCCGCTGCAAAAAGGAATACGAATTGTATTTTAAAATTAGTACTTGAGCAGCATTGCGATCGAACAAAACGCTTAACGGACTGCAATAGCGCGCCGCGAGCGCGAATAAACAATAAAATTCCAATTAAATTCGGCTCTAGTCCAATCGATTGGATGAATCTGTGAGCCAGATTTCTGGATCCAACACCAGAAATAAGGCGATTGTAGCCAGGATGAGCCCCAAGCTGCACGAGTTTGCGGTGGTCCTTCTGCGTGATGGCCAGGGCACACCCTGGGGCATCCGCCTGGTGGGCGGCAACGATCTGGATACGCCGCTGATCATCACCAGGGTAAGGGGCGTTATGTAACCAGAGATGCCACAAAGCGATTTGGCCTTTGCCTCGCTAGCCGCTCCCAAATAAACAGCAACAAATCAAAATAGCGAAACTGGCACACTGAGATCCGACAAGAAGGAACCACAATAAACACAGCAGCGTTGCCAAAACGCGACGCCAGTAAAACTAATTGAGGCGCAACAAACTAGCCCCAGAAGACTACGACTGTCTCCCCCATTCCTTCTAATTTTCCTTCCTCGTCTCCTCACGATTTCAATGTAAACACAATTTGACGATCATAATTATGTCTGCATCTATGCGCCCATCCATTTATCTAAGTCAAGGCTGTCGCCAACGGGCGCTCCTCCTTGTACACATGTAATATTTGATGCATCTAATACGCATCTTATGACCTTCTTATAATTTCCACCTCTCCATTCTCCCATTGCAGGTGCAAGCGGGCAGCCCATCTCATGGTGAGCTCCTCCGCGGCGATATCATCGCCAAGATCGGCGAGTACGATGCACGCGACCTGAGTCACGCGGATGCCCAGCAGCTGTTCCGCGGCGCTGGCAACGAGATCCGCCTCACGGTCCACAGGTGAGCAAGGGTCTATATGTACCCTTAAATAAGAAAAAAGTGCATATCAGATAGATAAAACATAGCTGAGGGTAGTCCCAAACCTGATTACGAATGATTTAAAAAGAACTTAAGATAAGTAACAAAAGTAAAACCACACAATCAATTTTGGGAATACCTTTCTCATTGCATTCATAAAATAAGGATACATCACCTTTTTTAGGGACAACAAAATTGCCTATACGCAGGGCGTCAGTCAGGATGCAGGACCAGGATCACGCAGCAACTCCACCCTGCCGCCGGCCAGTCCCGAACTGTTGCCCCATCGTGGTCCGTCGCCCTTCTTGCCGGGTCCCAGCCACTTCGAGCGTGCCCTGCAGCTGCCCATGGACACTCTGCCTCAGACGGTGTTCCCCCAGTTGAACTCTTCTGGAGGTTACGAGGTGCCATCCAGTGTGTTTTCGCCGAAGCCAACGCGTGATCATCAGCAGGATGTGGATGAGGAGCAGGCTGCCATTGTGAATCAGGTGAGTGGAACATAAATATTATAGTTATTATTGGGATATTATACTTAGTAAAGATGTATTGGAAAACCATTAAAAGCTCAGCTAAAAGAGAGAGGTTAGCATACCATAATTGTTTTACATAAAACTATTTTATAAAGGATAATTAATTGCTTTCTAAAATAAGGAATGTATTGCTTATAAACTAAAAATTTTATAGATTAGTTATATCTCCCAAAAATCTTTTAAAATATTTTTTTTATGTATATATGAACTATAACTTGACATGTGTCCTTTATTTTCTTCAAAGAAACTTTATGTTAGGCTTTGATTAAACACTCTTCAGAACTAGTTAAAATATCATATAATAACAATCAAATTAGTTGTTTAAAATGCTCTCTATTTAAAAAGTCAGGAGATAAATAACGCCTCTAATTGTTTCTACAAACCATTTCAAACAATTTAATGTGGCATACTTTGAGGCATTAGCATCTGTAAAATGTGTGTAAAATAATTTGTAGCTTTTGCCTTTTCGAATATAGGAATTCGAAATAATTTGCTTCTTATTTTTTTAAATCCAAGAAAATGTATTTATGTTAATTTAAGGGGAAAAGTTCACTGTCAATATTTCTAAATTTCAATTCCAAAAATTAATTTTATAAAAATTGAAGAGCTGACATCAGCGGGCAGCTATGCTGATGGTCAAGGTTCCCCGCCTCTTACATCCTAAATATAAATAAAGATGTGGGATCGAAATCGCGGGGGTACTTAACAGGAAAAGGCCCAGTGACGCAGTGTGCAGGTGGAAATTGGCGGGGAATCAAACAGATACAGAATAAAAACAAAAACAAGTCGGAAACTGTAACAGACCCAGAAGCGAAAACACCAAGATGCTGCCCGCCCCCCGAAAACTCTGCGGAAAATGCCAAGAGGCAAAGACGCAAATAAACAAGAAAACATCTACGGTACTATTTTGGGGCCCCTGACTTGCAGGCAGGTGGGAGGAGATTTTGATCCACTGTCCACCTTGTGATGCCGTGGCGTTGGGATGGTGATTGTGCTGGGAATGAGAATGAGAATGGGGATGGGGGTGGCCCGCCCCCTGAGATGACGCTGCTAATGAATCAAGACACTCGCCAAGGTCGCAACTTTGTTTGCCAGTGCGGCACCAAAATAAAAATCAAGGTGCCCATATATACCACCACCTATATGTTTTTGATGTTTGATGATTTGTCATATAAGAGAGTGAAGGAAAAGTGGCTAGAAAAAGTTCCACAACTCGTGACCTCCTTGGGTACCTTGTAATGTGAGAGTTTTTTCAATATTTAATGTTGTTTTTCTAATAGGGTTATTGTACTTGATTTCTTTTGTTAATTATGGTTATGACATTGAACAACAAAATATATTTAATTTAGAACGTGTATGTATATATTAGGACTAAAAGGGGGTTTTAAAACATGGAAACTTATAACGCTTTCTAACAGAAGGCCGCCAGGAATAACTATTAACTCTTACAAGATTATACAATTTTATGGTTCAAAACATAAATATGTTAGAAAAACCTAAAATATTAATAACTTCCTTGGCTACCTTCTTATGTGGGAGTGCTTCTATTCCTGGCATCATATTCCTAGCGGTTATTGAACTCTTAATTTATTTATGGTTAATATCAACCTTGAATGCGTTCTATTTGTATTCTTAATACATTTTTTTTTGCTCCAAAATAACCATTAGTCCGATTGTTTATTGATCGTTCCCATTTAAACACGCATAGAGCATGTGTGAGTCCAAGAAAAAGAACGGACTGCAGCCTTCGTTGTGGTAAAAATGGAACATAATTCCGTGTAAGTTATGAGTTCCTTGGATGTTCCATCGAACTTGAAAAATTTTCCTGCCTCCCAAGGCTAATTACACCTGCTCGTGTGTGTGCTTAGAGGAAACATCAAAATAATATGCCCAATGCCCTGTTCCAATGCCAATTGCTTATGACAGCAACAAAAATATAGAATGCCAATGCCAATAATAATGGGATATGTCGCAGCGGGGCTTATGTACTATATCTTTGGAACTGTCAGAATTGGTTTGACAAATCAGCGGCCAAAAGCAATTTCCGATGCTCAATGTCAGTGGAAATCAGTTGAAACAAACTGGGCACATCAATACTTTGCTGGCGAATCTGCGAGATCGGATATATAGATAATATATATCTCTACTTTTTGTGACTGCAGTATTTAAATTAATGTTTCTGCATTCGGGCGAAACAATAACCTCGGGTCCGATAAATATTTGCGCCTAATTTTCGAAATGCGAAAAAATTGTATATGAAATTGCTCCACAAAGCAGCAATTAAAACATATAGGCGAGATGTTATATGTCTATAATTTTTGACTGCACCGAGAAAAATAATGAGCTTCTATAAATAAAAAGAAATTACAATTTAAGAAATATTTTAATGGTTTTTATATAATTTATGAGCTTTTTCTAAGATTTTTATAGTGTAGAGAGTTTAGGATGTTTCTAATATCCTTATCAATAACTTGTGAGGTCATCAAGCAAAGGAAACGATTTCCTTATATTAAGAAGTCAAATTTTTACTGTGTAGGACTGCAGGACAAACAACAACATCCGGAGGGGACTGGGAGGACGGACTATATGGCGCGTGGGCGTTTAAAATAAAAAATAAGAATAAGAAGAACACCCCAAGTCCAAGTTTATACGCTGTGTTTGTTGTTGGCCGCGTTAACGCTCGGTGAATAAGCTATTTGCACAAAAACATATTTTGTATACATATTTAAGAAAAAAAAAATAGGAGAAATCTCCGCTCTCTCGGAGATCTGTGTACATAAGGCCCGGAATGGACTGGTGTGGGTGCGTGGGTCGGACGGCCTCTGACCGTCAGCACTCGTCTTCTATATGCTGGCTCACACACACTAACCCACCGAGGGACAGACACTCTCGGATCTATATAGACAACTTGGAATTCCGCGCAGTCGGAATAGCAATAATTCGCCAGCATTTGAAAATTTTCAAATCAGTTGCGTTCGGAATATTGAAAAATAAACAACAATACAAGACTCGAGCTCGAGCATCCTTTTGTAGTGAATCCTCGTGAAGAAGCACCAGCTGCAGCGTTGATTTAAACGTGACGAAAAAGCAAGTTACCAATAATAACCAATAATAATACTAGCAGCGATATAACAATTTGTGGACACTTTCGGTGCCATTAAAAGAGAATTTAAATAAACATAAACTGGCGTGATCTTCCATTACGTAATTGTATAATCTTTTTCGTTTCCATCTCGTTCAAATTCTGGCCAACACAAAGGAGTTTAAATTAAAACCCAAACACACACACATTACAAAAATGGAGTACGTTCAGTTCAAAAACGGATCCCCAGTCTACTACAAGGAGCAGCCAGACCTCAATGAATGCATTCAATATCAAGTAAGCAAGCCAGTGATCTTTGAAGTTAACTTAAAATATAAATGAATGGTGGAATAATAATTTTAAAAATATAAGAACAAAATTTGAATTGAAGTATTTAAGTCACAAATTAAAATAATTACTGTGAGCATATTATCAAGAGAAGTGCAGTTGTTAGATAAACTTAAATACAATTAAATGGTAAAATTTATAAACAAAACAATCTAAGAAGAAACCTACTTAAAGGTTTTAATAAGCTATATATATTATTATTAGAAATGAGCTTATTTAACTGAACACTTATTATAAGACGATTAAAGCTCGCATACTTATACCAAAAAATATTTTTCTATAAAAAGGCCCTATGTTCTGGCCCAGAAAATATTAATTTGAAGAAATAATACATATATGGTTATAAATTAAGGAATTATTTCCATAGTATTCGAGGCACAGGCCAGTTCTTTGCTTTTATCTACGCATAAACAAAGATTTGTAGACATATTCCAACTGTCAGAAAGACGTCGTCTCTAGTACACGTTCATAGCCAGAATCCAGATGAAAGACTTCACCTTTACCGTCAAACATTTGCTCTTGGAATTCAAGTTCAAATACATATGCCAAAAACCAACGTTTCGGCATACAAATATATTTTTTTCGAGGTTTACGTCTTACTTTTCCCTCAAAAATATATATGTATATTAAAGCAAGAAGCGTTCTGTTCCACATAATATAGAACGCCATATACTACGGCTATAGGTACACTCGTGCCTGCATATATCTGGCTGATTCTCTCGATCTCTCTGCACATATAGCTTATTATTCAAACATTTGTTCGCCGTTCGTCAATATGCGTCGAAAGGCAACAAGAGTTTTCGAAACATATTCCTCACTGAGCTCTTTCTGCGCTCAATGTAATTCATACCACCGAAATGGGGATATTTTTAGAGCAGAGAACCGAGAGAAAGAGCGCAGGAAAAACAACAATAAGCCAGCTAAACAAATAAACAAAATTATTATAAAAGAAATTAATTTCATGTCGAGATGGCCGAGAAACCCCTACTCGTTAATTTGGTTCGTACGATCCGTGAAAACCCACTTGGCAAAACAATGGCCAAAGGCGAAGAATTTTCACAACTCTTGGCACAACGACCCACAGCGAAAGTGAGGAATTGTTTTCACTTTTGCGATTTTGTATATAGTTTATTCTTTAATTGCTTAGGGCTAACAGGAAGTGAATTGTCTAGATTGTTGGTCAAGGGATCGGATCAGAAATAGATTATATGGTCGCCGCAACATTTACTTAATTTATGACACACATAAAAACGAAAAACTAAAGATTCGATTCAATTAAAGTCAGAGCAAAATGTCGAAAGTGACCCTCAAATGATATTTCAAAATATTTCAGTGCTGGCGCAACAGCCGCGAATGTTAAATTTAGCGTCAAAAAGTATTCTTATATATATTCCTATATGCGCGTCCCCAAGGTGAATGAAAATGAGAGAAATGCGCAATTAACCAGCGCGAATTGTTTGGTAAACTAATTTAGTAAAGGTAATCATCATACCGAGCACCCATCATCACTTGCTTAGGCAGGCGGTGTCGCTGAGGATCGAGGCGATCAGCTGCTTGTCGCTGAGAGCCGCGTGCACTTCCTCCTCGTCCCATTGCAACAGCACCTTGTGCAGGCGGGGCTCCTTCTTGCGAATGATGCGCAGTATGCCCCTGGTCTCCACTAGGTCCACGGTGCCAGCGAATTCTGCCTGATCCAGGGCTAGAATATTACGCTTGGAGCACACCCGGCGATACACTTCGTGCAGTCGTCCCATGCTAATGTCCTTGTTACGCTCGTTACGCAGCATCAGCACCAGGCTGCAGAGCATCAGTTTCTGCTGCAGTGGAAAGGCGGCCTCGATGTCCTCCTCTAGGTTTTGCGAGGCTCCATAGACCTTATTTAGCACCGCTGCTACTTGAGTGACCTGAACGGGCTTCAGGGTATCTGTAATTATCGGGGGAAAAAGCTGTCATAAAACCTCTTACCTCTAGATTGAACTTAGACACTTACCCTTCTGTTCTCTGGCCTCTGCGGCGTCCTTGCCCTCCAGTTCCAGGGCCTTCATGTTGAACTCCTTTTCGCCATCGCGCTTCTGCTGCTCTGCAATCTCCACCACTCGCCTGCCGATATCCAGAGCTCGTCGCACATCCCCGCTGATTGCACTCACCTTGGCGGCCAGTAGCTGCAGGGTGACGGGGGAAAGACATCCAGCACCTCGGCTTCGGCCAGGCGCGACTTGAAAATCTCCACGATCTGCTGTTTCGAGTAGGGCGGAAAGTGCATAAGCCTCGGTTTTAGTTCGCACCTGGCGTTCAGGCGCATCAGCGCCCGATCCGTGAGATCCAAGCTGTTGGCAATGCCAACGAGAAGTATCCTGGCGCCCGGCAAGGCGGGCCACTCGAAGATCGTGTAAAGCACAGCCTGCCGGCTCGTACTTAGCTGATCGATCTCGTCCAGGACCAGCAGGAGCATGCGCTTGGCACAGCGCAGATGCCGCTGGATAGCCTCCAAGTGATCGCGTTCGGTGCGCCCGTTCGGTTTCAGTTGTAGCTCGGCGCAGAGCTTCTTGTACACGGCTCCCACGCTGGCAATGCTGGTGCAGTTGATGTAGACGCGTTGCAGGCGCTTGGAGAAGGCGGGGTCGCGGAGTAGCAGTGATAGGCAGGCAGTCTTGCCTGTTCCTGGCTGCCCAGAGACATAGAGGCTACCAGAGGTCTGGCTCTCTAAGTGGCTAGTGAAGAATTCCCGGAGTTCAAGCAGCTGCTCCTCGCGTCCTGGAAGATTTTGAGTCTCGGCGCTGTTGAGAACGCGTCGTGCATTTTGGTATTTGTTGCGGGGCGGAGAGGGCAATGTTTCTGGCTCGGATTGGGGTTGCTGCTTCTGCTTAACCTGTTCCTTAGTTGGAGGCTTCGATTGTGGCCTGGAAACAGACTCCTCTGGCAAAGTTTCCGCCTTATTCGTTTGATGATTGTGCCGGAGTGTTTCCTGCCCCTCTGGCTTGTCAGTCTTGGTTTCTTCGTCTTCCTCCGGACGCTCGTCTATGCTGAGCCTGTCCAGCAGCCGAGATGGACTGATCAGGTGCTGCGGCAGCGGCTGTAGCCTGCGCTGCTTGGGCGGTGAGACATGGAGCACGTCAACATCCCGCTCCTCATCGCTACTGCTCTCCACAAAGATAGTGGCGGCTTCCCGGGAACGCGCTATCGCAGCTGCAGCCGCCGCTACAGTTTTCTTCGTGCTGCGTGGCGTCTTTTGCTCTGCAGGTAGCTGGTGCTCTGGTGGTGGCACCTTCCCTGTGTTCGTCCTCCGCCTGGTTGTCCTGTCCTTGTCCATCTTGTTCAGCAGGTTGCGGTTCTCGTTGTTCTCTGAAACAGACCCAATCAGCCGATGATCACTGACTGCCTCCTCCTCCTCGTCGCTGTCGGCGAGCACTTGCTTCGGCTGTCTTCTCCGCCAAACCTCGGATCGCCGCGGCGTGTGCACTTGCGTCTGCGTCGAGGGCGATGCGGTGGCGGCCTTGCTGATGCTGCTCAGGCGCGTGGAGCGACGCACGGCGGCCATTGGGTTAGTTAATATATTAGTCGGCGGGCAGTAAAGATTAAATAATAGTTAATAACTAAAGAAGCGCGACGAGGTAGAAGCCAGCTGGCCGTCAGTCAAAAAGCGCGCGAAATGCTGGTCCCTCTAGGGCCAAGCCAACGTCGGTATTTTGAAGTATTCGTGCTACGGTCACACGAAACCTTGCCTCACCGTCTGGCAGCTCCAGACCTCAAAGTTATCGATTAAGCGCGTATTTAAATGTTAAGCCATGTATATTAAATTACTTACACTTGCCACGTCTCGGTAAAAATAAAACGCTAGTCGGCAAAGATACAAAATTCAAATCGCTGGACGCTGGCTGGCAGAAAGAACACGCTTACGTAAGCGCCTAAAAATATTTTCTCTATTTTTAAAGTATATAAACGCACACCAAATTGAATTTTCTATATAAAAATTATACACAAACAGACAGACAGACACATACAGCCAAATGCGCACACCTAGCACAGTGGGCGAAGATCAGAGAATTTCTAGAAAAAATCTACTAATCGTGCGCTGATTTATTTATAATATTATTTCGCCCCGAGCGGCTGCCAAATGGGTGTTTTTGGATGTGTGTGCCCATTGGTTTTGGCATAAACAAAGTCGTTAATCTTGACTAATCATCACGTAATGTAATGTTTCTTTTTCTTTGTTCTTCTCCTAAAGCCATACCGAACAACTCCGCTGGTCCTGCCCGGCGCCAAAGTGAAGAAGGATGCGCCCACGACAGAGTCCTACTTGAGGCACTACCCCAACCCGGCTGTGCGCGCCCATCCAGGACACGACTACCATGACAGTATCATGAAGCAGCGCGTGGCCGACACCATGCTGCACAAGGTTGTCGGTTCGGAGGCCGACACTGGCCGCGTAAGTACAAATGGGATGGGAATCCTTGACTCATAAAGAACAATTATGAGAAATAAAAACAGTTTAAGATCTCTTATGAAGTTGTTCCTCAAGAATTTCAATCTTTTTAACCTTTTCATACATCTTATCTCCAAAATGACAGGTCTTCCACAAGCAGTTCAACTCGCCCATCGGTCTGTACTCCAACAGCAACATCGAGGACACCATCAGAACCACAGTTCCGTAAGTTGTTACCCAGAAATTTACCATCTGGAATCTCCTATTGCTTAGCTCGAATATACAATGAAAAACCACTAATAACCGAACTTTGGATTACGCTTGTCTCAAAATTGAACACACACACTATAATTTGCCTATAATTACGTTAATTTCTATTTGGAATTTGCAATTATTGAATAAATCTGCGTAGAACTCTTCGAAATTTGATGCAGCTTTTCTTTTTGCCAGAGAGAGAGAGAGCCACTCGAAAAATGCGCCCAGTAGTAGCTTTAAAACTAATAAACCTAGTCGCGATTACGATTGCGATTACGAATACACGAGTAGCCCAAGGTGTCCATATACATAATATAACCCGAAAATTGGTTCCTGGTTAAGCTGCGGCTATAATCCACTAACCAGAAAAGCCACAAAATTGAAAATTAAATCGAAACTCAAAATTTACTAACCCGCCGCTGCCGCAGCACACACGAAATGAGAAGCAAACTCGAACAACAAATCCACCCACCAAACACACGCACACACACAGTCCATAGATGTTGTACGTACTACGCCTATTGCCGGATCTGACCACTCTCTATATACTATATACCTATATATTCTATGTATATTGTTGTAGCTTCGCCACGAGCGATAGCAATCGCTTGAAGGACAGTCCTTTGCATCGTCCTTTGCCAACAAAACTTAACGGGTAAAAGTAAATTCATATCTTGAGCACAGCCTGAGTTCGTTCTTTGATTGAATCCTCCGCACCTTGATATATTGATATTATTTATCCTATATGGAAAGCACACAACCGAGCAAGAACTTGAATTTGAATCCGAACTTGCCTTGAGAAAAACTTAAACTATGACCATTTATCAGGAATGTTTTCCCTGCCTGTCTGTACAGACTAACTCCCTCGATTATTGTTGTCCACCACAACCGCAACAACTGTGTTTTTCCTCAAACCCAGAAACAAAATATATAAATATATAAACCTCCATATATCTATATCTTTATCCAAGCAGAACAACAAAAACAACACGACACAATTCCAAAAACGATTGCATGTGCTCTGCTGTCTATATACTTTATATGTGTTCTACCAATATCTCACCCCATATCCTCCTATTGCAAAGTAAAGCTCTATGACCTGAGTCTGTGATAAGAGGGAAATTATACCCTGTAAATAAGTGTATCCCCGGAAACTAAATATCTATCTATCGTTTCCCCTTTGGGAAGGGGGTTCTCTTATTATGGCAATGGTGGCGCAGGTGCGGGAAGAGGTTCCGGTTCCGTTTATGGTAGGGCAGGGGCTGTAAATACTTATAATCAATACAATACTTAAGCCATAAGAAACAACGAAAGACACTACTATCTAGCTCTTAGACTCTGATATATCTAGAACTTAGCTGCACGATTAATGTTAGAATTTTCATCGATCTATCTTTCCTGGAACAAAAACGTAAAATCCTGGAGCAACAAAAGCAAAAAGACCGACTTGCTGAGCAACAACGTCAACACCGCCAGCAGCAACTGCAGCAGCTCTATCAACAAAACAAATGATCAAAGAAATAGTAGTCCTTAGCCCAATTTTACTAGACAATCCTGCTCCTGCTAAAAATGATTCCCCTGACAAGTTCCTGCTGAAAACCACGTATTCCCCAACCTTTGTCCTGCCCCTTTTTAAGACTAATCCACGAAACTTAAAGACGTTTGCTGAATTTACACACATTTATGGTACATATTTACACACAAACTGTTTGAAGGACAGCCCTGAAAGTTCCTATTCATAAGCCCCCCGGCTCCACTGCAACCCCAATAATAACCATATACCCCATCCATTAACCCCTAACCCCGTAACGCCCGATCTCAAGGCTTCGACTCTCATGCGATGACAACTAAGGATTCCGTTGAATCCAATAACTATTATTAAATGAAACCATCTCACACCTTGTTATGCAGTTCTGTTCGATTACTTTTAATAACTAGCTCGTAAGGAATTTGTTAATGAGTTTCCTATTAATCGCAATCCGTTCGAGGAGTGTGCAGTTCTTAAGACAACGAGGCACAACTACAACCAGCAACTACAACCAACTACAACTACAACGAAAAACAAATAATTCTAACGTATTTTGTGCACATCCTGTTTTCTCTTTCTATTCTCTCACTACTCTGTCTCACGCTACTCAACCGATGTAAAAAAAACCAAAAAAACAAAACCAAAAATCCAAAAATCTTTTTGTTAATTCATTTAAACGAATGAATTTCGATTAACCAACAACAACAAATCAAAATAAATCTATTGAAATTATGCATAACACCACAAAAACCAACGAATAATTGACCAAACAAATAACGGCGCTTTCAACGATCTCAATGCAAACCCCCCGAAATCACACTGACCGATATCACTGATCACTGCCCCGAGCAGCTATAAGAAAACTGTCGTGTACGATCCCAGGAACAGCGACACCTACAGACTCATCCAAGAGGAGGGCGGCTACAGCAGCTACGGCAATGCCGCGCCACAGGAAGTAACCATTCCTGTGCAGACTAAGGTCTATCAGCCCAATAGATTGGTTCCAGGAAAGGTAAGATCGTGCGCAACCGTTCGAAATCAATCAATCAATCAATCAAGTTAAAAACAAACCCAGTCAAAAGTCTGTGTCAAAACACACGATCGCCAATCGATCCTATCAATCTGTATCTCAATCTCAGTATCAGTATCAGTATCAGTATCAGTATCAATCTCAAGCTCATCTGTACAAAGTCTATCTATCTCTCTCTGTTCCTATCTTGCTCGCTCTCGTCTCTCTTTTCGTGTAAATGTGTAAGCTGTAAGCTGAAAGCATCCTGTACAGTTGAACCAACCGAATGTTAGTCAACAGTGTGCCAATGTCTGGTGGCATGTCAACGCAATGTAACGACAACTAATGGAGCTGAAGTAGTGCTACTAACCTGGTTTTTGCTCGCATCGAAGAACTATCTTCATTAACCCCATTACTCTCTCTGTGTATATTTTCCAAATCACAAGCACACCTACATATGTATATTATTTGGCATTCTAACATCGACTGACACCTAACCAAAAAAAAATCTCATAACCGATAGAGACTGCATTTGAAAAGTCTGTAACCGAAAGCGCTGGATAATTACCAAGAGTTATTAAGCAAGATCTTATCTCTCCACTCTCCTGAATACTCTTACAGAAACCAGTATCAGCGCCAGTATCCCGGCCGCCGTACAATGTGAGTATTACTACAAAGCTTAAAACTATCTTAACTGAAATACAGATCAATAAACAATATTTACTAAAAAATATATCTCCTTTCTCAGGTGGTAAACACCCACGATGAGAACATACGCCAGAGCGGCTCCTTCAATCGTCTCATGTACAGCGTTATTGGTGCCACCGAATACTAGAAAACTGCATACTGCAACAGCAACATCAGACGCAACTGCAACAGCAACAGCAACAGCATCAGCAACTGCAGGGAGCAACATCATCATCCCTACTAGCAACATCGCATGCAGCAGTTGGCACCGACAGTTGTTTATCTCCTAACATATTTAGCGGATTTTTATGAAATTCTATTTAACTTACTCAATAAATTATATATGAAGAACGAGAGGAAATTGTGAACCACTAACAAGCTTAATGATACATTGGTTTGGTATATGAAATCGGAATCGAAATAAATTTAAACACACAGTAACACCACCTCAGACCATTTACTGTTTCCATAGAAGAACTATTTAAATTAATTGAATAAAAAGTAACTTTGATTTATAGTTATGTTTATTTTACGATGATTATGTGTTAACAGCCAGGTCAGTCAGGTGTGTTAACGTCGAGTGATTCTAGTCATGGAATGTAATAGGCATAAATAATGTTTTAATTAATAAATGCGACTTTCATTGGTTAAATTAAAGCCGTTTGTGTGTCTTGAACATTAGTTTCCCGGTCATTTTCCCATTAATTCACACACTTGTGACTGGTTGCACCTGATATTTATATTTTAAGTGTGATATAATTTGGCCACAATTGGATCAGACATTGCCACACGACGGCGACGCAATCGTATCACAATGATTTGAATATGACGAGCTCTTTTTCCTGACTGCCTCCTTCTTTTTGGAGTAGTTCCCACTTGCCAGGCCAGACCCAGCCCAACCCATAAACCCAAAAAATGAAAAAAAGAGTAGCCGAAAATCTTTGCATAACATGACGCTGCAAATCTGCGCTTATTCCATCAATCATTCGGGCAATTAAACCTATTTATATTGAAACTATATGCAAACTTGAGCTGAGAAATGAGCGTACCCATAAATTTGACTTTAATTTCAATGGAAAATAAGTCACTCGCGACTCGCTAGTGTACATACGTACGTGTGTAATGTGCATAACAATTGTACCACACATAATGTACTTTCACTTCACGGCTAAGTAAGCCACAAATGTGGTTGTTACTCTTTCATACATCTGTGCCGTGCAATTGTTTTGGTTCCGATCCCATCAAGCGGTCAGCCAGTCAGTTTCAATTGCGATGCCGATGGCGACTCCCCCGAAACGACCTTGTCGAGTTAGCAACCTCGCCATCAAAGAAATCTCCTCCGATTGATAGATATATAGACTCCTCTTATATGCATGCAAATTCAGGGCGGCAACTGTAACACTAACAATACTCTGAGGCAATTGTAATCGCATTGTCGTCTCAAATATCGAGTATTGGAGTATTTCCACGACTTGTGGGGTTTAATGACACGATCGCATGACATTACATGGAAAGAAATGTATTTCAACTTGAAATTTTCAAGTGATGATGATGATGAGTTTTCATATTTCTTTATGGTTGATATAGACAAAAAATATATTCAATGATTTCAATTTGATATTTTACACCTTGTATTATGTCTTGATTTGTATAGGAACATAGCCTTGCTATTTTCCCAATTATTTATCAGGACTGTATACCACAACGAATGATTTTAAATTAGTTAATTACAATCTCTTTGAATTTTATCAATTTTTCCATTTATATCATTATAATTATAATTTATAATATATTTTTCCATGTGCAAAAGAGGTTAACATATTTCTCCTACTTATGAAGGTTTAATGATTCGATCACATGATCCCCTGCAAAGGGCTCAGAGTGCAAAAGTTTGGCAATCAGCGACATCAAAGATCGCTTGAATCTATTCAACCGCAACGCGAACGCAATGCAGATGCAGATACAGATACAGATACACAGATAGTTATAGCTATTCGCTATTCGATAGATGGATGTGAGTACGAGACAAAAGGCGCCAATGAAAAACGTTTACGTTAAATTTGGGTCAAAAACAATGGTGGAGGCTCTGCACTTGTTGGGTTCGATTTTAGATGTGTTTATTTTTTTGTTGTTCCTATTTTTGAGGGTGCGGCCTCTTCAAATCGCATTGACCTCAAGAATGTGAACCTCGTGGAGAGCTGGGCGATTAATTGGGCATGATTATCTAATGGGAAGCTAGCAAAAAAAAAAATAAGAGCCGCAGGCCCATTGCATAAAATTCACAATATAGTTGCATGTCGACAAAGGAGTCAACCGCAAATGTAATTTACATTTATTAATGGGCTTTGTCTGCATTTTGAAAATGCATTACAACACCCCTCGCCCCACCCACACACACACACACACAGGTGTCCCATCTTACCCGAGTTACGGTTAAATGACAAATTCGTGAAAGTTTTCAAACGCCCCCCGTCGGTATCAATCAGCTGTCTCTGTTAGCCAAAATAGAGCTTCAGTTAACAGCTGTTAGCTGATCACTTGGCCGAGATCACGTAATGTAACGAAATGAGAAGGAAGACAAAGGTTTTGGGGAATCGAAAATATGATGCCCTGTATTGAATGATATATATTTGTAATCATTTAAAAAATGTTGTATTTTTAGAAATAATTAATCAAGTCAGAGCTCGTTTTTATAATGCTTATGAATATATTCTTAACATATGGATTGCCTTGATTTAACTCAAACAAAATCACGGATGTATAAAGCGTTTCGCTTTTATCTACGAGAGCTTATCAAACTTCGCTAATCGATGAGATTCAATATATTTTTCTGTATATAAAGCTGAAATTTTCTTATGAACCCATAGGGCTTATAAAATTCTAGGTTAATAAAATAACTATTTTTGTAGTACAATATGTAATAGCAAATCATTTCCAAAAGATTTAGGTATGTTTCTTAGCCTGCTGAATCTTACGTTTAAGTGTAACTTCGTATCTAATACCATCTTTTAAATTTTTTTGTTGATCAACTTCACCAATAGTTATTTTTCTTGTGCCTCCAAAAAGATTTAACCAAATACATCATACCCTTCGATAGATACAATCAAGGGGCAAATAATAATAAAACAATGGTACAGGTCGAGGGTAGAGGAACTATGATTTGAGCGGAAACGACGGCCGCCGAATGGGGGAGTCGCCGAAAACAGCTGTTGTAAATCAGGCAGGCAGCCGGGCAGGCAGGCGGGAGGCAATACCAAGAGTGGCCCGGTCGAGAGTTACATGGCCCAGAGAGTGAGCCATGTCTCATGGCTCATGGAGAGCGACAAACTACGAGTGGGGCTGCTGCTCCGCGTTCGTCGATATAAAAGTGCAATTTGGGTCCGCAGCCAGCGCAGATAGTTTTGTGGCTCCGTCGAGGCTTGTGTTTCAGTTTTGAGTGTCCCGCGTCTCTCTCCGTGCCTTCCATCTGTGATCAGTGATCTAGCCCCTCCAGCAAATCATGCAGCTCCTTCTAGTGGTGGCCACCGCGGTGGTGGCGTTGAGCGGCCTGGCTGCCGGCCAGCAGGGTGTGGATCCGGCCTATCTGCGTCAGTACTACCAGCAGCTCCAGCAGCAACAGCAACAGGGCCAATCCGGCGACAGTACGCCCATCTTTGAGCAAAACTCGGAGCAGACGCAGCAGTATGTGAGCTCTGGCCAGCAGATTCGCATCAAGGATACGGTGGCCGAGCAGATCCGTGCCCAGCAGCAGCAGGGATATGTGGCACCGGCCCTTAGGGATTATCAGCCTCAGGTGGGTTAAGGAAAATATATATTTAATATATATAAATATCTAAGATCTTTAAAAGCTTATTTTTAATAATATCAAACTGGTTATTATAATATTAAATTAACTTTAATTAAGATCAAAGGATCCAAGATATTAAAAACAGTTATACATTTCCTATTAATTAAAACTAGATCATAAAATTATGAAAAGTTAAAATACATTAAATAGAAACCTGAACAGCTGATCCTGATTCGAGGATTATAGCTTAATGGTGAGATAAATATACTTATATGGAATCCTTTTCAACATATTTCCAGTACCAGTCACAGCCACAGCAATCCGCCTACCGGCCACAGCCTCAGCCCGCTGCTCAGCCTCCCCGCAGGATTCAGCCCGCCTACCAAGCCCAGTCCAGCTCGATCCTTGGCAAGGGACAGCACAAGCTGACAGCGTTGCAGCAGCAGCAGCAACAAGAGGAGGAGGAGCAATACGATGATGTAAGTTTGGAAGACACTGGGAAAAATTTGTTTAAATTTTTATTTTAAAAAAACCAACCTTATATTAGTAATAGTAGAACAATGGTTTAGAATCAAATTTAATAGGTTTAAGAACTAAATAAGACTAGATAAGAATCCATTATCCGGAGGTGTAAATCCTATTATTACAAACTTTGACAGAAAGAATGAGATTTTCTTTGAACTTCCTTTAAAGGAAAAGTAAAAGTATCAATCGAATTTTATTAGATTTCATTTCTTTAAGAGCCATCCAACCTTCTTCATCCGTGTCCGTTTATGAGCAGCATTAAATCTTAACAAATAATTGTTTGCCTTATTTGTATTTATGAGATACAATTGTTGCCGTGTTATGTAGTTAAATTGTTTGTTTCTGTGCAAAACTCGAGTTCGAATCCCCATTTGACTTCGACTTTCGTACACTTTCCTTTTCGCTTCACTGCAACAGCAATAGCAGCAACATCAGCAGCAGTAGCAACAACTGCAACAGTTAGTGCAACTATAGCTGCAACAGCAACATAATTACAATTGAAGCATGCAATGAGAGTCGGAGAGTCGGCAATGGGGGGCACTGGCACCTGGAGTTCATTAACCACGAAGACCACAAAGTTGCAATGTGACGTGGATTTGGCCATGGCCATATGTGTGCGTTGCATTGTGCATTGTACTTGTTCATTGGCCCGATGATCGCTCCTGGTCCGGTCCGCTCAGGCTCAAACTGAGGCTCAGGCTCAGGCTGGAGCTGCAACTTAAACTTAAAGTTAGGCTCAGCCACTTGGCCACTTAGCCAGCGGCGATGGTTTACGGCCTTTGCATGCGGAAGCTGGCGAATATCCTTTACCAAAGCGACCATAATCCATCAGGCTTAATGCAAAAGCGGGCTAACGAGATGGGGTTAAGGTGCTGAGATGGCGTGTCATCTTTCAAATCGATTAAAACTGATTGCACAGACAGGAGGTGGAAGTCGGAATATTAATCTTTAATTTTATAATTTTACATGGACTATCTTTATTTTGATTATATAGCAGAGGGGAAATTTGTTAGATTTCATAAATTTATCATTATTAGTTCGAGTTTTTGATGGAATACCCATTTTTTTAAAGTCAGTTTAAAGTTAGTTTTAATACCGAAAGCTAGGAAAAAGACAGCTAGAGGTAATAATAGTTCTTATTTTTTATAGTACTAAATCTAGCCAAGTTACACTATATATCATTGGCCCATAAATTCCGTATAACCATAAAGATTTAATCGACAAGTTCAACCTGAAATGCCTTTGGTTAATGCACTTTTCATAGTTTCATAAAATGTGACACTGCCGCCGGCACTTACATTCTCCGCCAGACAATCACTTTCAAATGCGACCCATATACCCCAATCCGTGGCAGAGTCCGATTCCCACAGAGGTGCAACTCGTGCAAATGGACAGTGCACGCATTAGAACTGGCTTTTGCAAACTGGCTTTTGCCTTTCCAATTTTCGGCCTGCAGTTCTTTTGTGTGTAGTTTTTTTTTCGTTTTCGGCCACGTCAGAAGATCGAGGGTTCGATCTGGCCACGCCTTTAGGCCACGCTTCTGGTTACCTTAACCCAGTTGCCAATGATTTGCAATGGGATTGTCTTAGTCTTGCTTGATTGCATCCTCGTTTAGTGGGGGAAACCTTCAACCTTGTGCATAAATTAGCCAAAGCCTCGGGGTGTTCTTGGACTTATTGGGAACATGGCAATAAAGACAATAGTTTGTTGGATCTTAAATCAATTGATTCGGTCATGGTCTACGACTGTTCCTTTGTGGGATTTATTGAACAGTTAGCACTTCCTACTTTATCTATGTCTGTTTATCTTTTCCTCTTTCCTTCCTTTTAATACCTACAACAATGTATATAATAATTTGATATTGACTTCATTTTATGCCCTGGAAAGCACAAACCTTGTGCATAAACTCTTTAAAAACTTCGAGGAATTGGGTTTGTCGGGTGGCTTGGCTTCTACCGCCTTGTTGCATAATATCGATCGTGTGATCCGGTGGTATGGCTTTGGCGCTTTGGCTCTTTGATTCGTGCGCACGGACCATTAAACATTTCTGTATGCAAGTGGCTCCAAAATTACTTTCACTTGTGCGTGATCTGGGACTGGGAGTTATAGCCTTAGTTTCAGCTTCGGTCTCAGTTTCAGTTTTGGTTACAGCCTACGCGCATGCGCCTGGGGAGCGATGACGCAACCGTCTGGACACGTTTTCTGGCCCAGCCACCAAAGTGGGTCAGATTCGTGGGACAGTACGCATTCCAAATCTCAATTGAACTCCACCCATAAATGTTATATGTAATATATCTAATCTCTTATTCTTCTCACAACCTCTTCAGCAAAACTCCTCCTATCAATTTGGATTCGATGTAAAGGACGATGAGTTCACCAACTATCAGAACCGTAAGGAGATCCGTGACGGTGCCGTGATCAAGGGCAGCTACTCGGTGGTGGACTCAGATGGCTTCATCCGCACTGTCAAATACACGGCTGACCCAAAGGAGGGCTTCAAGGCTGAGGTTATTCGTGAGCCCACCGATATTGTGGTCAAGATTCCCACTCCGCCGCCACCCACGCAGCTGCTCCGCGCCGGCGGCCACAAGTCGCAGCAGGAGTATAGTTCCGGTTCCAGCAAGCAGCAGTACCAGCATCAGCAGCACCAGCAGCAGCCCCAGTACCACCAGTACCAGTAGGGATTGGGATTGGGTATCGGGTTCTCTACGAAATCGAAATACTCCTGAAAGTTCCGCAAGTCCATGTAGTTTGTAAATATGCCAAGACTCGCTTCTGGCACGAAATCATAAAGTTATTCTATATTATGTCATTCATTTAGGTTCGACTTTCTTGTTTAGAATATTAAATTAAAAATTTCAAAAAACTTTAAATGTGTTTGAGTTTGACTTTATAAATACCTGCTATAGTTGTGGCAAAATAATCTTCTTCTATAATATGCTTTTACCAAACTCTTGTTCTCCTCACCTTTCACTGAACTTGAAACTTTAGAGACAATTCCAGCCTCATTCCAGTGTCCACACATTGAGGTCACACCGATGTCTGCCAGCTCAAAAGGTAAACATACATTTCATTTGCGTATAAATCAATGCAGTAACATCGCGAGACGGAGACCTTATCAAAGGAGATCCCAGTGACACCCAAGAGCAAAGGCAAAGACAACCCGTTCGGGCAGTTGCTGACAAAAGGCCAGCTAATGGCAGTTCCCATCAGAAGCTACAACACAGAATCCAGGAGCCGTGGATCGTGGTCACCGAAGACACGGATTCCCGAGACTCGGACCCGGCCGGACCGGTCAGACCGGTTGTCCTTTGGGAACTCACGCCACAGCAAAAGGAAAAGCAAAAGCCATAGCAATTGCAATCGCATCCAGTGTCCTTCTGCAGTGTCCTTGCATAAATTAGAGAAGCGTGTGAGAACGGGGTACTTCTATGTGAGTTCCTTTGCTTTACCTTGATGACCTTATCGCCCAAGAAGAAGACCAGAACCAGTTCTGGACAGTCTCGAAGGTGACTGACTGAGTGACTGACAGCCAGGGCTGATCGCTGATCACCGAACGCTTCCTTAATGACCCGCATCCCATTTACATATGCCGGAGTCGGGACTTAATATCGAACTGTTGTAAGGATCGGGCAGGATCTAAAACATGTGTCCGTTTGGTCACTCGCACCTAAGGCAAAACGCAGACAAACAACTGGACACTGGGCCTATCGGCTGCCGCCGGGCATTTATGTCACTTTGGCCTTCAACTTGGAGATATGCAAATGAGATGACAAACAAGGACGAAGGCGAGTGCAACCCCCGAAGGCCTCAAAGGTTACACGGGCCCGAAGATAAGACCCTTGCATCTTCAACCCCTTCCTGGTGTCTTCAGGCATTTACATATACGTCCCGCATGTCCTGTAACTAAGTAACTGCAGGACAGGACACTCGGGTCACTGCCCAGAACCAGTTTCCGGTTAAAGGATGACCTTTTCGGCCGGGACAGTGCCCGACGGACGGAGTTGTAAAACCAGTTGGACAGTCCACTTTTCCGGATCGGCGTGAGAAAATCTCAAAGATCCTCGATGTTCTCGAAGGCGCTGACCTAAGACAAGAGCGTTCAGCTTGCATTCGTATGCAAATCTTTTGCATTGCTCGTCCCGATTTCACGCCAAATCATTGCCCTTAAATAAATAATACGCCAAAATTATGAAAAGTCACGATTTATGCGAGTACGGATGGGTATTTACAGAGTGAAGGAATGGAAATGGAAGTGGAGGTTGGGGGGAAGGAGTATGCAAATTTAGGTTCAGAGTTTTCCCTGAGCCATGTCCCAGCGGTGCTCGCCGTGGCCGCCTTGACGATCGGTCCAAATCACCTAAGTTTGAAGAATATATAACGAATTATCTGGAAATTTATGGTTTCGGTGGATTTTTCCAGTCAAGCTCACCTCGCCCTTGTAGCGATTCGTGCTTCGTTGCGACTCGAAGCGCCTTTCCTGGACCTTTGGGTGCTTCATGACGTGACCGTGACTCCGCGAATGGGGGCCATCGAAGCGCATGAAAATGTCGCTACAAATAAGATATTACCATTATATTATATTTTTTTTTAAACTTATATCGAATAGAGAAAATGCAGCTTCCAAATTAGATTGAATTAAATTTGTAAGTTGAAAGGCTTTCGTAATTTTCAATTAAAGCTATCTCTGTAATCTATTAACCACCACCATTTTTTTAACTTATTTTCCTCAATTTTCACCCTTTTTCGTATCGAAAATTTTACTGTATATAATTGAGGTTAGTAATTGTGACCTATGATTTTGGAAAATAAAGAAACTACCACCAATTTGTAGGGACATTTTTCATGTTTTTCACCCCTTTCCTACAGCTGTTTTCCCACTTACATTTTCGTGAAATAATAATGATTTTTTGCCCGTGATTTAAGCCATTTTCTACTCAATTTTTCAATTATAATTTTATGAAAGTGTTTTTCAAGTTTCTGTGTGTGAGTTTATGAACATATCAAACTTTCACCACTTTTTCGGAGGGTTTCTACATATTTTCCACCCATTTTGTAGCACATTATATTGAATGAAATTATGTATTTCTATATATTATAATTTCAGTATCTACTCAATTTTAAACTCCAATTTCTATCTTTTTTGCACGATTAAGAATTAAATTATGTTTAAATTTATCCTTTAAAAGCTTGAATTAAATATGTTAATTCTTGCTTAAATCCTTACTTATTCCACTGAAGATATTATTAAAAATCATTCTATACTTACTGAAAATATTTGGTTTCCTTTTTGGTGCCATCACTCTGACTCTTGGACTCAGCCACATCAGTGTCCTGATTCTTAGCAAATCTTCGTGGTCGCTCCGCTTGAAGAGGCTGGGAAGGCTGCTGCTGCTGCTCCTGCAACCTGGCTATCCTCGGCGGTATCACATGAAGTACATCGCTAGTAAATAGAGCTGGAGGAACATTGAAGAGGTGCTGTTGTTGCTGCTGTTGCTGCAACAGTTGCTGCTGCTGCTGCTGCTGCTGGTGATGGAGTTGCTCCTCAACGCGACGCTGGGGCTGGACTGGCAGATAATTTCCCTCGTAGCGATACTTGGCCAGTTCCGCATGAGGAGGAGCTATGGCCCGTTGCTGGTACTGAACACTCTGCTGCGTATACAGGGGCGGTAAAGGTGGAGCTGGGGCAGGCACTTGCTGTTGCTGGTATTCCAAGGCCAAGGGCTGATAGTTGGGACGGTAGTTCACAAGCTGAAAGTGGGGCGTCTGCTGCTGGTAGTGCAAAGGCGGAGTCGGAGGAGCCACAGGCACGGCATACTCGAATCTTCGGAGACGGGGAGCATCGTAATAGAGCTGGCGGGGATGGTAAAAGAATTGCTGCTGCATCATCGACGGGGAGACGAGCAGCATCAATTGGAGCAAGAGAATCCCCAGTGGTAACTTCCCAAGTGGCAGCTCCATCGCGTTGCACTCTCGTCAAATTTGTGGCAGCATTTTGACAACAACATTGGCATTTATAGTTGGCTCTTTTCGGGGCTTGGCCTGCATCCGGAAGTCACTTGCCCAGCAGCGGGCAGCGGTGTGTGAAATCGATCGGAGCTGGTGCCCCGGATTGTGCAATGCTCCAGCGGTCAGGCGTGTTATGTTGCTGCTGCCTTGCATAAGAGATGGGCCCAGAAGAGTGGGAACTACAACTATGACTAGTGCTATTTCGGAGGAGGAGGAGGAAATGAGCTTTGGAACAGAACTCTGCTGGCAGCTGGCGGCCTTAGCCGTCATCAAGGTCAGGCCAGGTCCAAAAAGCTGGCCTGTTTAGCATACAAAAAGTTTCGGCGGCTCTATTATTACCATCTGGTTACCGCGGGAACTTCCGTTAGAGCCGGCCATGTCCATATCCAGTTCCTAGCTCTTAACATAGCTCTAGCTCAGCGCTGATTGGTCACCGAGAATTCAAGACAGCCTGTTGCTCCTCGAAAGCCTTTCAACCCCTCGACTTGACCTATAAGCAGCGGGCTTTTCAACCCCTTGTCATCGCACACAACTACCCCTAAGGAAGCCCAAGGAACCTTCCTCGTTCTGCTGCGCAGTTACGGAGCTCATTCGACTTCTGAAGTTGAAACCCTTAAGAACTCCCAAAACCAAGCAATCCTAATCCTACACACAGAACTCCTTTGGATATTCAACAGAGACAAGAGAAACGGTGAGTCTAGATAGCCATAACACATTTATAATATAGGGACTCGAGGTCGGTCATTTCAACACATCAACATGCATAGAGGTACGGGTACAAACTCCAGATCCACCAAAGTTTCCACATAGAGAGCGTTATAGATACGGTTATAATACAAAGATTGTGGCCTCCACGAGAGACTGCTGCAACCAGATTTCAGTGCTTTCGATTCATTTCCGTTCGGTTCACAACAAAGCTAGAAAGGATGCCGGTTTCCAGAGATTAGTCCGCCATGTTCACATTGTTCATTCGCATCTTGGCAAAGTCCTCGAAGACAATGTTGTCATCATCATCCTGATAGTAGCCCTTGACATTGCGGTGCTGCTCAATGGACTTCATCTTCTTCATGGCATTCGAGCGCTTCTTCTCAATGGTGCCTAAAGGGATCGAATAGTGGGAAATTAGTGTTTTATAGAAGAATCTTTAGAGAATAGAGCTTACCAGGTGCCGGCTGGAGGAGCTTGAAGGGCACATCTGTCTGCATTTCACCGCCCAGAGTGCCGCAGTTCAGCTTAATGCGCACCGAGTAAGAGATGACAATACCACAGGCATCTCCCGTGGACTTGCCCTCCTGCACCATGGTGGAGGAGGCCAGGTTGCAGTCCTCGTCCTTCAGGTGTCCATCTAGGGCGATGCCTAAAGTGAACAGAGAGAGATAATTCTAGTTGCCTTTAGGTGATTCCAGTATTGATCTTACCGTGACGATCCTTGTTGTTAGCCGCCAGGGGAATCAGGTAGAAGGTCTTGGTCAGATTGGCGCCCGGGGTAATGGGGCAGCCCTCCTTGGTCTCCAGCTGGGCCACGTGCTTGCTGAATTGGGCATTCACCATGGTGATCTCGGTGTGCTGGACAATGAAGCACTTGATGCTCTTGACGGCCTTCTTCGAGTTGTTCGAGACTTGGACGGTGGCGGCCACCTTCTCGCCATGGTAGTAGATCTCCCGGTCCAGCGTGACCTCCAGGCTGATCTTGCCGTTCGAGAAGGTGAATCCCTTGCTGACCAGGGAGCTGGGCAGACGCTGGCCGCGATTTAAGGGGGCGTACTGGAGTTTCTTGATCACCAGACTGACCATGCTGCGCTTGTGCTGGCGGTCATCCTCAGAGTCGGCCACAAAGGCGCGGATGGTGTACTCCACACCCAGGGGCTTGCCGTTGTCATCGCCCTCCTGCTGCAGAGTGACGGAGCTGGGCGAGTTGGGCGGGAAGTGGAAGGTGAAAGGATGGGCATTGCTGCCCAGCTTGCGCACCAGCTTCTCCTGCATCGGAGTCATCTCCATGTTGGGGTTGGTCATTGGGACGATCTGCTCCCGTGAAAGGATCAGCTCCTTCGAGAACTTGACTCCCATGACCTCATCCTCTTCGCGGCCATAGCGATAGGTGGTGGCCAACTGACCGAACACCTTGCGGTTCTTCAGGTAATCCGGCTCCACCACGATGACCCCATCCACGGGGTCGCAGTAGTCCAGATGGTCGATGAAGTCGCGGCGTCCCAGATAGAATGTGACCTTGCCGTTGGGCGTGGCCTTCTTGAAGACCTTCACGGAGACGACCATGTTAGATGTCCTGGTGTTGCTGGTGTCCTTGATTAACTAATGTATATATATCCTTGGGGTAACTGGGTCCTGAGCTCAGAGTGCGCGTGCAGAGTTTTCCAGGGCGATCGGCGGAGGAAAATGCGAAAGCCACAAGCCGTGCAACCTGCTTATATACCTTTGCCCTGGCCCTGTCCGTGGGTCTTCTTCGTTCTGGCCACTAACTGGATTTGCGCGTTATGCAGTTGTTTGGACACTGCGGCGGAAAAAGAACACGGCCCCAGGGAGGTGTGGCTTGTGGGTGTTGAACCCACCCAAAGGTATAGATGGTATGGTATCTATTTCCCCGAGTTCACAGCACAATTTGCGCAGTTTGCCACTTTGTCCGGAATAAATTGGCTAATGTCAAGTATGTTGCGAGTTGCGAGGTCATGTGGCCAACTGTTGCATAATTGGGCGACACGCAGCGGGATTATCATCTGATTAGAGGTTACCCCAGGTGGTTATCAGTGGGAGGGAGACTCTAGGCACCCCAGTATTCCAGGTGACTATCTAGTCTGGGAGAAACCCAACAAGTTTTATTCTGTTATGAATCAAACGTCGATATATCGATTGGTTTGAACACCTTTAAGTGAAGGAATTAGAATGTCTTAAATTTGACAAAGGTCAAAACTTTTATTGGACAAGGAAAGAGGAAGGGGGACTTACCCTAAAGCAAAGTATATATTTTGTTACAAAAGAAATAACCAGCCGAGTAATTAGTTTATTATTAGTTATATAGAAGAATACCTTAAATACTTTCAGGTTCGTCAATGAAATATTAGTTTTAAACAACATATTACCTCCTTTTACTTTTATATATGGATTTTAAGGTTTCTTTTCTGTTTAAGATATATGTTAATATGTATATGTAAATATTCTAAATTTCTTCCAGCAAAACAAAATGCAGACTCAAACACACACCACCACAGACCGACATGGCTATAGCCTGCGCTTTTCGCCTTTCGAGGCGAACTACTTGCTGCTGGCCACCAGGTGAGACAGCTTTCTCCATTCTCTTGGTTTCCATAACCTAATCCAAACACCCTTTCCTCCTAGCCAATTGTACGGTCTTGCGGGCGGTGGCTCTCTCTTTTTGCTGGAACAGAACGCGACCACTGCAGATGGCCAGAGCCTGGGGGAACTGTGCCGTCTGGAGTGGTCCGATGGCCTGTTCGACGTCGCCTGGTGTCCCTATGCGCCCGACATCGCGGCCACTGCCTCCGGTGATGGCTCCTTGCAGATCTGGTGCGGCCTGGACGCGGAGTCGGCGACGGGACAGCAGACGCCGAAGCAGCCGCTGATCTGCCTGCAGGAGCACAAGAACGAGGTGTACAGCCTGGACTGGGGCGAGAAGTGGAACTACCACACGCTGCTCTCGGCCAGCTGGGACTGCACCTTGAAGCTGTGGGACTGCAACCGGCAGCACTCGATCACCACCTTCGTGGGCCACCACGACCTGATCTACGGCGCCAAGTTCTCGCCATTGATTGCCAATCTGTTTGCTAGCGTAAGTACCGATGGACACCTTAACTTATGGAATTCTCTTGATTTTGCAGGTAAACCCCTGATGAGCATCGAGGCCCATGCCAGCGAGGCACTCTCCTGCGACTGGTCGCACTTCGATAGGAATGTTTTGGTGACGGGAGGATCTGATGGCCTAATCCGTGGATGGGATCTGCGCAAGATGAGGACACCGGTCTTTGAGCTGTACTCCGGGGAGTTTGCTGTCCGGCGATTGGCCTGTTCACCGCACTCGAGCGCGGTTTTGGCATCGGCCAACTATGATTTTACCACAAGGTAGGTGTTAAATCACGGATTCATTCGGAATATCTACATAATGTTATCTTTGTTCTTACTAGGATTTGGAATCTGGAACGTGGAGAATCCGCCCAGGAGATCAATGCCCATCACACAGAGTTTGTGTGCGGTTTGGACTGGAATCCACATCGGGCTCATCAGCTGGCCGACTGCGGCTGGGATTCCTTGGCCACTGTTTATACGCCTCAGTGCCTGATGGGTGAGCTGGCCTAGGATGGATGAAGTTGTTTTTTGGAAACTGGAACTGGTACTCCACAAATACCGCTACCACATGTGATATAAGGCGCAAGTGGCGTCGAAATAGCCAGGCCTACAAACGGTGCACCACCAGGAAGGACGATAGCTGAGCTATACAATGCCTCTAAGGAACCCAAGGAACAAGGACCGCCTCCAGACAGGAGGCAGGTGATGACGTGTAAATAGTCGGGTGATAAACGATGAAGCAGGTGCTGCGAATGTCAATAAAAGCTTACACATACTTATTATAATGCGGATCATGTGAATTATATATAAATGTATATATATAACATACGAATGGGGCCCAGCTCCGATCCGCTGCCTGTTATTATGCCCTTCACAATAAATTTCTTGGCCGCTGGCTATAATTTACACTGGTTTCTGGTCCCTTGTCTTAACGAGAACTTAACGGATTTGAAGGATTGAATGGATCTGGAGCTGGGATCTGGCTGTGGAACTCTCTGGCCAAACAAACACGCAATAAAGCGCTAATTTGGAGCAACGTTTTATTGCCAGGCTGACTTCCCAGAATCCTGAGCAGGAACTGTGCCTTTGGCCAGAGGTGTGTGCTCTCGCACCTTTTCACCTCAGATGGTGTGAAAAGCAGCTCCTCTGTCTCCCTGTAGCCGATCCTGTCATTATCCCAGGCTGAAGCCTAACAACTGCCACTCGAGGCAAATATTTGCTTTGAGGCCAATTGGCGCTGATTTCTTCTGACATTTTTGGGGGAGGAGATGCCTGGCTGCTCCTCCTCCAACCTGGAGAGGATCCTCTGGAGCAGCAGCAGCTGCTAACCCGCAATTATCTGATCTCTGCAGAGTCAACTCAAACCAAAATTGATATTAATGCCTTGTTTGTGTTAATAAAACTCGCTTTTGAGAGGAGCAGCCAGTTCGGGGTTCCTTATTTTATTTCAAATAATTATTTGATTGTTCAGAAACAAGGAGTCAGGAATATATGTACATTTATTTAGGGGCTTTATGTAGGAAATGTGCAATAAAAATATAGTTTAAGGATTGCTGAGAGTTCCTCTATAAAAATATTAAATGGTATAAATATTTATATTTTTTTATTTTGGAAAACCAAAATAACCTAGTTTATGGCATTTCAGTTTGTGCCTCCTTAGTAAAATAACTTCATTTTCATTCAATATGAGTTTAATATAAAATAATCAAATTTAAAGCAATTTTAAGAGAATATATATAATATTTTATGGTTATTTCTCAGTGCTATAAATTCCTTTTCGTTTTTATTTTACACACGGTTTCAAGCGCATATAACGCCACCTACCGGTTCATATCCATACTAGGCTGCACTGCTTGTTTAAGCTAAGCAGTTTCTGGCGGGTTAATTTAAATTTTAAAATTGGTTTTGTTTTTCCAAAGAGACAATATATATAAATTAATTATTAAATAAAAATAAATAAAGCTGAAGCTGTCATTATGAAAGACGAAGGCTTTCAGCATATTTTAGACAAACCAAAAGTCTAGTAAGTAAATTCTAGGCAAGTAATTTCATTAAGATTTTCAGTTATAACAAGATTTTTTAATATCTGAACAAGAAAACCATTACTTTCCACCACAAACCCCTTCAATTTAAGCAGAAATAAACTTAAGCTTCCCTAGTAATTTACGAAAATAAAGCAAAAGAACCCAACTATAAATTATCACCGAACAAAGTTGCATTCGTCGGCGAAAAATTGGACACTTACAGAGCCAGCCTAGGCCCATAACCTTGATTCCTGCTGCTGGCTGCTGGCAGCTTGTTAAAAATAAACCCAAAAATGAGGAGAGAAAACGTATTTCAACACCCATCATCCTCCCAGCCTCCTCCTCCTCCTTTGCCATTCCGAGGGAGAGCTCTGGCGAAGATCGGGAGCGGTAGCAGGTTCTGGATCGTGTCTCTACCTGGAACTGCCTGCTGGGGAACTGCACGCGCCTGCTCGGCTCGGTCTGGATCGGTTCAGCAATTTAAATTGCCTCCACGAGCATTTTGATGGCGATCACGCGCCCCTTTCAAATCTCGCCGTCCAATCTGCGCCGCCATAAAGGATCCGCAGACGATGTCTGTTTCTGTTTCTGTTTCGGTTTTGCCTTGTATACTGGCCTGGTTATTTTTATGACACTCTCTGGAGGAGTCAGAGAAAAATTCAAGAAGTTTTTGTACCTTACAATTTAATTTATGTTTGGTAATAGTAAGTGAAAGTTCAATTGGAGTATGAAGAAAAGAAGCTTTAAGTGTGTCTTAGAAATATATTTATAGGTTTATAAGTATGTAGAAGATTGAAATAATCAATCAATATAATTCAATTTTAAGTCTTTGGCTCAATCTTCAATATATAAAAAAGAAAATAAAGAAGTTTTTCTTTGGTTATTTTCTGCTCCCAAGTTCTGTTCGTACATTTCTCTCTGTGCATTTTTAATGTTCTTGTAACGTTTTGTTCTGAGGTCTTCAATCGTCACCGTTTGTGCCGACGGCGTCATGTGCATCCTGGCGACTCTGTCCTGTCCTGCCCTGACCTGCACGTGTGTAGATCCTTCGCCGGCGGCGGGAGCAGGCGATGGGACCTCCTTCGGTGCACAGTGGGCGCTTCATCACAGAACGCACCGCAAACTAGGGGCTAACTAAATGATTTTTTAGGGTTCTTAGGGTTTGGCAATACGCATTGATGGGGGCGTGACTGGAAGAGTAATCTTGATTCGGAGAGATTTCGTTTGAACTGGCGCACAAAGAGTGCCGGAAATAATTGTTAAAGAGGCAGATCCTTTGGTGTGCTACCTGTCTTCCTGTGCCTTAATGAGCAATCACACACATAACTCCTGCGACTGGTTGGGTAATTAAAATTTCAATCCAGCCAGCGGATGTGGCTACCGTTAGATGGAGTGTGAATTTATTCACTAGGGGAATATTATTCAAACTTATTCATGAGCAAAAAGAAACAGGAAACGCTCCTTGACGAGGTGTTGAATGCCGAGACTCAAAAGTGTCCTGAAAATTACCTAAGCTGCGCACGCCGCTAGACCTTTCCTTAAGGAATTCTGCCAGAAGAAGAGATCCTGGCTGGCCATTGTTTTAGCTCGCTTATGACATAATGAGAGCATGGCCTGCAAACGCAATGTTATGCAATACCAGCGGCAACGCAACGGCGGTCATAAAATCCCTCGATCCTGATCCTGATCCCTCGATCCCACATCGGGGATTAGGTTCGAAGGCCTAGATCTAGATTGCCCGTAAAAACGGCCACTGAACTACATTCCTGCTGCTGCTGCTGCTGCCTGGCGGCGGTCCCTGGGATCTGGGACCGTGAAAAAATCTGCGCACATTTGTTTATGGCATGTTGTTAAAAAATTCAGGACATCGAGAGCGCTGGAATCGACGAGGGCCATTTACGCAATTCCGGGCAAAAAACAAGGCCAAGTGCCGGGGCAAGCATCCCGCTGTGGATTCCGCGAACTATTTTTACATTTGTGTGTTTTATTTGATTTTTTCTTTTTCTAGAAATGCCCGAGTCCCGACTGGCCCAGATCCTGGAATGGGATTGCATCACCTGAGCCCCGGGGTCTGCTCTAATTTTTTGCTACAATTGTTTTTTGTTTGGCAAAAGGAGATTTGCAAATCGCGTGGCCGGCTCGTTCTTTTTTGTGTCCTTTTTGAGGTTGACCGAGGGCAACAAAAACGTGTCCTAGATAAACAAAAAATTGGCTCAGTTGCAGTAGCAGCGCAGGCAGGACGCGTGGCTCTCGAAAAACGGACCCTTAAAAAAGGCTGAGAAGAAAAAATAATAATAAGTAGACATGATCGCTTTTCAATGAATGAGGAAACCACTCAATTTAAACGGTTTCCTTGTTTACCTGGCCAATGAATCAAACCTTTTGAATTCCGGGAAAATATTTGCTTATTTACAGCAATTGATCAGATCAGCATAAGTATATAGTACTACTATTCCGATGAAGAATCATCAGGAATTCTTTTCTAAAAATAATTGATTGGTTTATTTACGCCCTGCGCCGAGTGATCTTGTTTATTTATTCCTTACACAATCTTGTAACCTTCAAAGTCTTATGTCTTAGCGGCTCTCTGTAACTGAGTTAATAAATTCAAAGATTGAAATGGCATTTTATTAGGTAGCCAGGAGGATATATATTCACAGATTGATTTATTTTCATTGCCGCCCCGATGGAATTTGAATTTCTGGCAGCGGCTGGCATTTAGTGGGTTGAGGGTGAAGGACGTTCTTACGGCGTGCTCCACGAATCGAATACAATAAAATCGGCGAGACAAGGTCGTCTCGCAGTCAGCTATAAATACAAAAATCTCATTCCGTGCAAAATATTTTTGCGTATAAATAATTTGTTGGAAAAGCAAAAACGTCTTGTTTTTGAACTCATGACCAAAATACTTTAGCGGCCCGTCTCACGTCCAAAAATAGTTGCACCTCCCGCACCCACGCCGACCGCCGGTCCGGTCTCCGGATCCCCAGGTCTCCCGGATCTGCAGATCCCCCGGATCTTTGGCATCCCAGATCATCGACTGACGTGCGTCGATGACGCGCATTCTGCCCGCTGGACTGATTCTAAACAGAGGCCTCCACATCCACATCCCCATCCAGATCCAGAGTCGTATCCAGAACCAGAAGCAGGAGATGACGACCAGCAGCAGCAGGGCCGATCTAAAATTGGCGAAGAAAGCATATTGAATGTATTCATATTCATCGCACCGAGATGCCAAACAATTGCCTGACCAATAATATCCATGATGATAATAATGATGATGATGGTGGTGGTCCAAAGGCGTCAGCAATCGGCCTAAGAATTAGTTTTCCACAACAATAACAGATTAAAGTTTTCGTTTAACGAGTAGTGATTACTCTTTAAGAATATTTATTAGTTTAATTGAATTCTAAAGTTAAAGTAATTACAAAAACTAAATATCTCGTTTGTGTAAATACTTAAACTTCAAAATGCTGTATCCCTATA